GGCAATTTGGTTATAGGTTGCTTGAGATCAGATTTGGGAAATTTTTTGGAGATAGATTGAACTAGCTTTGTTCGATCAGCTTGACTAGATGTGGTGATAACTGTCTCACCTTTCTTGTTTTCGAAGGTATTATCTACAAAAATGTTATTTTCTGTGATAATAGTTTTAAGGTCAGATAATGGAACTTTTTCTCCCCCTTCAGAGACTATTACTGAAGCTGGATGCCTCAGTTTTTCTACTCTGCTGCTGTCACGCCAGGGATTTTCGACAACACCATTAGAGCCACCAGTTTCATGGTTACTATTAACTGGTGAAAGGGTTGGTGATATGGAACAGTTTCCTGCGGTACTACTTAATCCATGAAGAGTGGCAGGATTTAACAAGAGATTTTTAATGGTGTCTATGTCAGCATCTAGTTTTGACATTTTTGTTTCAAGGGTGTGTACATGGGTTTTTAAGTCAGCAGCGTTTCTCAGGTTTGCTAATGTAACACAAGAGTCACAATGGAAGAGGAAACTTCCAAAACGTTTACCTTTCTGTTTTGATTCAGTGTTAGCATTGAAAGATTTCAGTAAGGACGGGGAGCATACATTATCAGGAAAGTTAACACGTTTACCGTCCTTTAGTTCATAACAAGTAGCGTGAAAATTGCTCTTACATTCATAACAACATACCACTTCTCCTTTAGAATCAAACGAGCAGTTTCTGCAGATTCCATCAGCAGCTAACATACGTGGATTGTTCACAACAAAACAAGGGGGGCTGGCACTATCATCATTGTCATTATCATTACCATTGTCATGTTGCCCCTGTAAGACATGATTTGAGGAGTCCAGCCCCTCTGAGTTTTGATCGGGATCTACCATTCTTTTGGGAGGATGGAGACAGATATAAAATCTTTTATGATGTATAACTCAGAAGTTTCGGGGTCCTCAAATTATTTGTTATATAGTAGTGTTGAAAGTATTAAAACTGCCATGAAGTCCAAATGTTTTAAGAATCATCTAGAGAGGTGATAATCGTTGAGAAATCGCTTTTAACACGAAAAGCTAACGAGATAGCCTTTTAGAACGGTTGGGATCCGACTATAAATATTGATTTGCAGGTTTTTTTGGAATTCTTGGCTTCGATTGTTTGTCTGTCAATGCATTCAATGTCTGCATTCAATATATGTTCATCATTAAGCTTGTTTACTCGTATCTGCTCTTGCCCAAGTTCAGGAAGAGCCTTTTGATGTTCATTTTCGATATCACCCAGGCCATACTCCATCCAAATCTGTTATTTCCAATCCTTTAATTTAAAATTACGATGATCATTTATAGATATTTGAATCATCTTGCACGCAATATAATACTCTAAGGTGATTGCATTGTAGGTAAAGAAGTGGCAGAAAGTTAATGACAAAACTATAATAATGACAACCACCAAGCAATGCCAAAATTGAGTATAAATACGCTGGGTCCTAAAGCAACGCCATGTTTTATATTAAGTACCTGTAACTATGCAAATGCAAAATGGGGTACTGTAACTTCTCATTTGAAAATCCAGTGATCGCCAGAATTGGAAAATTCAACTTCAGAACGAACTCTTACTGTTAACGAAAATGCTAGAAAATCCTAAATTTTACCATAATATAATAACTATAAAAGTGGAGTATCGACTTATCCTTGAAATTTGTTAATCATTTTGCACCGATTAATAAAGACAACAGTTATTTCGATAAGGCCGGGGGGACAGAGGCCCAAGTTGCGACATAAACCAGACAATATTGAAGATTTAGATTTAAATATTGAGCCCTTTGGCTAGAGAATACTTTCTTAGATATTTTGGACAGTTTTTAATATTGGTAATGTTAATGAATTGTAATTGATTGATAGAGGAATTTAATTCTCCCTTTGAATCAATCAAGCTAGATGGTTTATTGTAAATACTGAGATCAAACTATCAATTTACAGGCTATCGTCAAACATGTTGCAAGGCGTCATCTTCAGTGACATAAGCCTAAAAATTGTAAAAAGTTAGTAAAACCCAAAATTCCTTTAAAAATCTGAACACTCTTAAAATTGTATCACGTTGCGACCCCCACGGTCATTTCACTATCGTTACGTTCTGACGATACAGGGGGAGCCGCGCGTGCGCGGCGGGTCATACAACGTATGACAATCTTAAAACGGTTATATAATTAAAATTAAGATGTTAGGAGTAAGGGAAGGCCAAAAGGATTTATAGTGTTTATTCCCAAAGGTTTTAAAGTCTTGAGTTGTTGAATATATTTATGTTCACGAACTTCTAAAGTTTTAGGACTAGAATTATCAATAATTGACACATCAAAATTTTTGTTAAAATCCTCCCTTTGTCTAAAACCATGATACAACAAATGTAAGCCAAAACTATTGTATATTCATCACTTGTTTCATCTACCTTATCACCATTTAAAAGTTTATAATATTTGACCCTATGTTCTCCAGTCCTAACCTGTAAAGAGCGAGTTTGCTCTAACCAGAGCCCTCTCACTTGCAGTAGCGCGCGACCGCCGGGAAGGATACTTGTGAAACAAGCGCGTCACTGGTCACGCAGTACGCAGTACGCGTAATTGATTGATATGTTATATTTATGCCCGTGGCCAGTTATCACCATAAAATGAATTGTTTTCATAATATATTTGTAGCGCGATGCACTACTGGGTCGCGCGCGCATCAAATAATGCTCCTCGCAACCACATCTTCGGTAGATCGGCGAGATGCACCACTCATGTGCCTCACCGAGCTGCGAAGGATTGACATCGTGAATCAAATAATATATATAATGAAACTATCAGATGAAAATCAATTTATTTGATAATGACAATCAGAAAATCAGGAGAGCAGAGCGTCAAATTTAATTACAACGTGGGTAGTAAAACTTGGATATATCATATAAATAATAAATATAAAGAACTTTTTAAAATTTAACCAAACGCCAGTGATCACTAAAATTAAGGTTAACGGACAATATTCATAAAATATTTGGATCACGATGCACTACTCATGACTCGGCCGTGCAAACCGTACCTGTAAACGATTCACATCGTCAGCGCACAATCTTAGAGGACTTACGCCGCTTCGACGCGCCGCGCAAACTAGCATTCTTGCTTCGCATCGTCGATCGTTGTTTTGCTTCGCAGAGCAACGATCTTGATGGATTGACATCGTCAATTAATATGCACAATCAAGTAAAATGTTTGTTCCAAAACCATCGATGAGTCCAACTCGGCGCGCGTTTAAACGCGTTTTGGCCTTGGTAGGTTGTAAACGTAAACTTGTCCATCGTTAATGGACGTTAGCCTGTAGCCCGCGGTGCGCGCTACTTCGAAGAAATTTAGACGAGTAACATCCGTCAAGTTATAAACATACAATCCTAAAATATAAATATAGTGTTGTTAATATATTTGTTCACATATGACATAGCCATGTGTATACGCGTACTGCGTGACGCGCTTGTTTCAAAACTGAACAAGCGAGAGGGCTCTGGTTAAAGCAAATATATTTGTATTAATAATTGAAGAATGAAGGAAGGTCTTACAAAACTTACAAAACTTAAAATAATGTTACAAAGCCAAAAGCTTTAATTTTGGTTTCATCCATAACTCAAAGTACACATTTGCGCTGAGCTGCAATATAATTGCGCGGCTGGATTAAAGTGTACTATACTATGCGATTCAAAACACATTTACTATAAGTACTAAGTAGGTAATATCAAATATTGAATATAATTATACCTTAAATTGTAAATATTTTAATTTGAGTAAAGCTTCAATTATTGAAGCTATATTCATTGTGTGTTTTAATAGTGCATAACACATATAATTCTAACTTTCTAAAAATTAGATTTCTATATGCGCGCGGCTCATCAATAATATTTTGTAAATATTATGTAACGTTAAAATAAAACAAATCTAATTTTTTTATTTGGTGCACAACTAACTGTTTTACAGTTTTGCATGTACATTGTACTGTATTCTTTCTTTGACCCTACGATATAAAAGGTTGGACACAAACATTTTCAATTAGATATAGCGCCCCACCCACCTTTTTTCATGGTTCATACAAATTGCAGAATTGGTCTTATATTGTGCTTCTGAAAATTATATTTGGATGTTATATTTGGATGCGGCGGTTTGACGTAGTCTTTGTATTGGGGATTGCATGCATATATTGCTGCTGTGATTTAACAAACATGACAAAAGCCTCGACACGATTGACTTGAAATGATATTGATTTTGTTGAGCTGCTATGTTGGTGTTGAAGTTTCAAAAGTTCATTTGCTCCTTACTGTGACCTGGCGACCCCAGGCTATAATGTTCATAAACAGAATAAAGATTCGGCGGAATGACAGGCTGAGCACCGCCCAGTAATTTGCTCCAAGAGACAGTTAAGTTATAGGATATGCAAGTCTCGGACTAGTACTGATTCATCGTCTGACTGTAGGGGCAATGGGCAATGGGTATATGTGAATTTCCATTAACGTATTTTGTAACTAAGATGCTGTCGAAGTTTTGACTTGGATAAAAAGTTGTAACTTATTGCACGATTTCAGGAAGTTGGCTGACCATTTGAGTCTAATAACTGATATCATCTGATGTTTGACAAACAGCTTCAGTACAAGTTATATTACTGCTGTTTTTGGTTCCATATTATTAAACTGGCCATGTTTGATACAATTAAAAACTAATAGTTTTTACCTGCAGAATCTCATTTTCTTTGAGGAGCCTGTTACCATGAGTTACTGGGCGGTGCTCAGCCTGTCATTTCGCCGAATCTATATATTATATCCTGGGTTCCCCAGGTAAAGGAGCATGTTGCCAATTTTACAGCCTGTTGATTCAAATGATTTTACCAAAAACTTGAATTATGAATCTTTCCATTGTATGCTTTTTTTTGTTGTTGTTGAATACCTCAATTTACAATTTTGGTATCTGAAAGTTAGCAAATATCGAAAATTGTCGAAAAACCTTAATAATGACTGCTTTTAGCTATGGTGACATATTCAGATCCTACTTTTGCTATGATAAGATCAAGAATTGAAAACATAGAAGAAATTCAAAGAAAGATTTTCAAATGCTTACATGAATCAGAAGCTCAGCTACAGCAGGTAAGTTATGTCTTCTTAACAGCACGATGTACCAAAACCTGGTTTGAAACTTTGGTTCATGTTTCATTGTTGCCTTATACAATAAACATTGAAAGTTTGTTTTACAGATATCCCTACTGTACGCAGACAAGGATGCCCCGTCAGATACATGCATCCTTACCCACCAACAAAGTATGTATACCATTCTTCAATAAATATCATATTACATAGTTTGACTAATTTCCATTCCTTCGCTAATAGATAATGAGAATTACATAAATGAAACAAAAGTTGATAAAACAATGGTTAAATTTTACAGTCAATCAATATTGTCTTCTTTAAATTAGTGAATTATATTCTCAAATCGTATAGAAGGAAGAATTGTAGATATAGCATGAATTTCATATCATTAATATTTCAGAGATTCGTGTTGTAGCCAAGCATCATGGATGGCAGTGGTTATTAGGTAAAGCTTGAAAAACTCTCAGTAAAGCTATCAAAAAAGTCGTTTCTTGATGATGATAAATGGAAAGAGGAGAGTCTTCCAAGCTGATATCTCCCTAAAAAAGTGTTCACCCCTGCCACAGTTGGAGCGGGTTGATGGTAGAAACTGAGACAGAGACATTCCGTCCCCCACATTAATGGGTTTGAGCAGAGACCTCTCCAAAATAATGTAGAAGATGTAACAAATAATGCAATCACTCTAGTATTGGAATCAACTAAAAATGTTACTGAAGCATTCAAGTTCTAAGGTCTCCAAACGGGGTCGGACCTGCAACAGCGATCTTATTCTATCTTTATCCAGCCCTGTGAAGTGCATTATGTCAGATGAAGCTATGGATGCTTCAATCGGATTGCAAGATCTTATAACAGGCAAGCCGATTGTAAGAGTTTCGGTGTAGCAATGACAGCTAAAGCAAAGGAGCTGGGGCGATGATGGAATGTTAGTCTTGTCGAAAAGCTCTGTTTACTGCCGCTGTTTTAGGAAGTCAGGAGCTAAATAATATCTTTGTAATTTAGTGAGATATTATGAACAATACGCTAGTGGTTATATAGAGCAATGTGGAATATAAATTATCTATTGATCCATTGTTTCTATTTCTTAAATCTTTACAATTCTATTAGTAACTTGTGCGCCAGACTTTTTGTGATTAAGTTATACTAAGTCTTAAATTCTATTAATTTCATATTTTCATTTTATAATTATTTCCGATAAACATATTTTCATAATTTTAAACATTATCATAATTTTGTCGAAGTTATTTGCTGCATTTTTTTTGCTTTGGTGTACAAATCGAAATGACATTCTTGCTGTCACTGGTCTCTCTCCTCGGTTCAGGTCAACTGTTTCTGCCTCTTCACTATAAAGAAGGAGACCCTATCACTCGTGCCCACAGAATGCAACTCCTGCTAGCAGCATTCCAGGCCTCCCAAAGTAATATACGAAATCAGAAATAATAAATATCAATGCAACAGACCTCAGGAGCTTAAGCTGTCACTGTAACTTTAAATGATCACTATGCACATGAAACACACCAGTTTGTTACAAGTAATTATCAAACCCCACAGACAACATGTTTGTTGGTACATTCGAAATGAACACAATTAGTATTATAATATATCAGAACTATCATAAATATATAAACAACTATATAGCAATTCACAATTTCCCTCTTTCTGAAAAAAGGCGTTGAAGATTTAAAATATTAAATATAAAATAAAGGTGTCCACAAGAAGACTAAATCTTTCTAAATTAACTTCCTCTTGTGGATACAATGCAGCGAACATGGGTAATAAAAATCGTTTTAAACGAACACAATTATATATATAACTACAAATACCACTATATTCAATCATTTAACTTCTTTAAGTTTTCAAATTATTAAGATATTAAAATCCTTCACACACACTATTAAAAAACCCATTGAATACAATGTTTATATTGGAATACAATACTAAACGTTCATTTCAAATTCTCCCTGATGACAATACCTCCCGTAGCAGTGAAGTTGGAGCTCAGCTTTAGTCAAACATCTGCAAGCTGTTTCTTTGTTGAAATCTAACACTTTATTTATAAATATACACATCTCTACCTCTACACGTCTTATACACATATACAGTATACACCTACACTTGTACAATCTACATTTATACATAATTTACACACCGTAAATCACAAGCCACCCTAGTTACCAGTACCCTAGTTACCAGTACCCTAGTTACCAGTACCCTAGTTACCAGTACCCTAGTTACCAGTACCCTAGTTACCAATTCCCTAGTTACCAGTACCCTAGTTACCAGTACCCTAGTTACCAGTACCCTAGTTACCAGTACCCTAGTTACCAGTACCCTAGTTACCAGTACCCTAGTTACCAGTACCCTATTTACCAGTACCCTAGTTACCAGTACCCTAGTTACCAGTACCCTAGTTACCAGTACCCTAGTTACCAGTACCCTAGTTACCAGTACCCTAGTTACCAGTACCCTAGTTACCAGTATCCTAGTTACCAGTACCCTAGTTACCAGTACCCTAGTTACCAGTACCCTTGTTACCAGTACCCTAGTTACCAGTACCCTAGTTACCAGTACCCTTGTTACCAGTACCCTAGTTACCAGTACCCTAGTTACCTGTACCCTAGTTACCTGTACCCTAGTTACCAGTACCCTAGTTACCAGTACCCTAGTTACCAGTACCCTAGTTACCAGTACCCTAGTTACCAGTACCCTAGTTACCAGTACCCTAGTTACCACTCCCCAGGTACAAGTGTTCTGAAGAAGCTCCCCACTGTTACGCGACGTGTACCCTCGACAAAGTACCTGATAACGTGATGTTGATACCCAACGACACCACAACGACACAGCTCGTACACGAGAACAAGACTACTGTCGTTTGTGTGGACTTTATTCATTATCACACGTAAGTTTTTATTTATTTAGCAAATTTTTAAAGTTATTTAGAAAATTTTACTTTCTACAAATCTACGTAATCTAACAAAACTGTAATGAACTGTGATGACCAAGGGTTGCGGACATTAATTTCAGGAGCGCTTCATAAAATCAAATATAAACGGTGGTTTTAATCTATAATTTCAGTTTGACCTGCAATAACGGTGTACTGAACTGGCCTACATGTGACAATGTATCAGTTTCTTACGTAAGTGTTCAGTATTTTCACTATACTTGTAGTACACGATCAATCAATCACATACTTCCTAGAGTATGCCTCACTCTGTAACTACGTGAACTGAATACCAACTCTAGAACCAAAACCCCTTTCTTTCAGATAGGAAACAGGATCTACATACTTTTCATAGCAGTGCTGGCATTGGGAGTAGTCACCTTCATAATGTTTTTTATCACTCTGTACCTCACTAGAAGGCGCGGAGAGTTCAAAGGTAGGAGGGAAAGTTCAGTTTCATTAACCTACATACATACTAGACCGATCAAAACCAAAAAGTAACATAATGCAGCAGAATTCAAATGATAACAAGTGTAAAAGTACAGTAACATAATCCAAATGACAACACAGTTTTTTTTTTAGGAGGAAACTTCGCGTCAGTGCAGACCAACATTGAGAACCCATTAGAAAAGCCGATAGTCAGCCTGCCAGTCCATGTAGACGAGTTCTCAAAAAGGGTATGTGACAATTAATGTTAATTAATTAAATACATTAGTAATCATATCCTCTTTCAAGGATTTAAGCGTTTTATCATTGCATATTTAATATCCTTCATCATGCATTGAAAAATTTGAACTCTTATAAGTTATTTGTGTATAAATTGAAAAAATTAAACAGACACATAAACCACGTGAACCCAGGCGGATATATTTAACAACGGTGGTATAGCAAGGTGGAAGGCAGAGTTCAACTTAATTCCCATGCACGACTCGTTGCAACAAAAATCCATTGCTCTGGCAACTTACAACAGGAAGAAAAACAAAGCCGGGGCAAGGTAACCATAGTAACCATAGTAACCATGGTAACCATTTTAGAAAATAAACTTATAATCTAAATAAATCTGATACTCAATTAGGTTTCTCACAGGACATATGAACCGCGATTAACCATGTTTTTATCAGGGGAATAGTACCGTACGACATATCACGTGTTAAGATCGGCAAAGTGGACGATCCCCTAGATGATTACTACAACGCAAGCTACATAAACGGCTGGAAGGGACCGAGAGTGTACATTGTGGCTCAGACTCCTTTACCACATACTAAAGATCACTTCTGGAAGATGGTTGTAGAACAGCAGTCTAGGATCCTGATCAACTTGCACCCTTCAGGTTAGTATTTTGTCTAAGATCTCGATCAGTCGAGGCTTCTTCCTGTTTTGTTTTTTTTGCGGCACAATGATATAAAACACTATACAGAGACTGACCTGCTTAATCTCAGGGGATATAGACAGTCCGACAGAGTACCACAGATACTGGCCAGAACATGACGGTCTGTATGACAACATTCTGGTTAAGAACATTTCCAGTACAGATTACGATGGTTTCATTGTCAGACAGTTCAAAGTTGGCCCCGTCGAGGTAGGCTACCATATTGATTTCATTCACTAGCTTATATGCCTAGACTTATCCAGATCACCTATTGATATAACATCGCAGTCTACATATTCCTACTTTCGTGACAAGCAACTCTAGAGTTACTTACATACAATGTATTGCAAAGCACCAAAATTATTGACTATTTTCAGTGGCCCGAAACACCAGCGTCTTCACCTTCACTAAGTGAAATCGGAGAAGAGGAAGTTGAAGAAGAGGTTGAGAAAGAAGAAGAGGAAGTTGAAGAAGAGGAGGAAGCAGAAGAAGAAGAGGCTGCAGAGGAAGAAGAAGAGGCAGTAGAGGAAGAGGCAGTAGAGACCCCAGAACCATCTGTAACGAATCTAACAGAAGCCTTAGGCACAAATACAACAGAAGAAGCTGAAACTGAGGCCGCAGCCGAAACATCAGCGACAAACCTGACAGCAACGGAGGCCGCTACAGAAGCTGAAACGGAAGAAAACGGAGATGCTGATGAGGACGATGATACAAAGTCGGAGGCTTACTCTGAGAAAACCACCAAATCAATAAAGACTGCATTGTCACAGAGGTCTGCTAAGACATCAGCTTCCTCTGGAAAATACAGTGAGTTGAAGTCGGATATTACTAGTTAGTACTGTTTGATGGACTACAAAGGTTAAAGAAGCAAATACATTTTCAATCATATAAATGTCGATTATAATTACACAAATTTGCTAGCACTAAACTTGATTTATTTCAGGAATAGATTTGCCCTACCAACATTCTTTCATTGTCAAACAGGTCAGACTTTGATCAATCAACTCAGCTTAAAACCTTAAAGTTAATTGCAATACACTGCAAAAATTTGATGTTGAAGTTTTAAAATATTAAGTTTTAAGTAGATCAATCACCAGTTCCCCTTTAGATTCATTTCGACAAATGGGATGAGAACGGGGAACCGGACATGCAAGCGTTCCTAAAGATGATATTGTTCCATCGTGACATAATTAAATTCAACCTAACAAAGGGTCCTATCATCATGCACAGGTAAGAAAAAATTCAACTGCTGTGTTGCCACTGCTATTTGGTATTAAACAATATAAAGATATCGTTGAGGGATATGTTGGTCAGTTCGGTGAAAACTGAGATTACTGAACGAGAAACAAAGTACACTGGGAATACAATTTCAGTGAATACGGGTCAGATTGGGCGAGTTTGTTCTGCGCCACTGACTACATCCTGGACAGACTGATCAGCGAGACAGACCTCAACATTGCAGGTATACTTAATTTCATCTCAACACTTTCAGTTTTAATTAGAATTGGTGAAAATCTAAAATTAAAAGGTTAAGCGAAATATCAGATCAATTAGTAAGTAATATCGACAAACCTGTAGTTCATCTATCTTTGTGCACTAGGACTGACGAACGCATTGCGACAGCAGCGTCCTATGATGATAGCCACTGTACAGCAGTACATCTACCTTCACCATCTTATGGTCTTCATCCTAGAGAGAGAGGATTATGAGGTGACGTGGTATTTGGATTTGAGTATCTTTATAATAAGGAAAATCATTTTGATATAAACTAATTTTCTATAATTATAATGTACCATCACTACAGATCATCTTGATTTAAACGGAGTCTCATTTTGATAACACAGTTTTTTTCCTCCAGGATCTAAAATATGTAGGCTTCAAGAGTAATCCTCTAGATCTTAAGGAATGCTCAGTTTCTAGTGAATCTAGTGGTAAGTAGACCAATCGGAAAACCAAACCCGTAAATAATCCAGCATGCGTGAATCATCTAATTTGTATCGATTATTCTCAATGCACCATTTCTCACATACCACATTTATTTAGTATACTGTATGTTTAAAATATCCGATAGTGCTAACTGTGACCCCATCAGGTAGTGGCCCGATGAAATCAATTAGGGCAGTAAGCAGAGCAGTGCAGGAGGGAACGAAATCAGTTGCTAAATCTGTTGCTACTGTAACTCAGGTACTTAAGATCTTGAATTTTTCAACCATCATCTCATAGCTTTTTCTCGTCAGAAACTATGTATTTTTCATTAGTACCTAATGTTTTATTGATTAAAATCAAGGTTTTGACAGTTCTTACACCTCAGAGTCTGTTTGGAAAGATTTCTGGAAATTCAGATAGCGATTCAGATTGAAACTCTGATCGAAAACATCTCATACATCTACACTCTACAGTACCAGCAACCGTCACCATACAGATATAGACTAAATTAAAAACTGGTTAAAAGTCATGACATCTGTGTTCTATTGATGCTACTAAATTGCGCCGTAGACTTTCTGTTATTAATGTCAGATTAATGAGTTTGGTTTTGATTATTGAGCTACTATGTCTCTGTTTACGCTCAATCGCCATTAAAAACTAATTGTGTTTTCACGTGATCAATCTGACAGCTAGAGCACATGGCGAGCGTTTCATTAATCTTTTTGTGCTTTCTCGATTGATCGTTAAATGAAAACGACTGCAACACTTGAAAACTAGTTTGTAATATTTGGTAGGTCTGAATCAACACAGTGTTTTATGTTCTCGAATAATTAGGAGTCGGGTATATCGAGTGGGCACATCTTTACGTTGTGTTAATTTTGATCCATCTTGTAATTGTATAGTCAGACCATGATTATACAATATACAGTTAAGCCCGGATGCTCCAATTAAAAACGAAATCTTGTTAATTTAAAGGCGTGAATTTAAATATCTGTTTACAATTTTTTTTCTTAATTCTAATTTCTTCTGAAATTGACGAAAATTTACTCCACAAAAAAATCAGTTAAAGCCAGGGCTTCATGACTTTGATCATAGTTTAACTGTTATAGTAATACTATAACATGTCAGCTGATAACAAATGGGAGATTGCTGCTTTATGCGTAGGTAATATGCTTGAACTTATAGTTACAGTTAACCCCTGAAATGAGTTTATTTTTACTTTCATAGGTTTCAAGGGGACGAAGTTAACCAAATTGCTAACTCTATGGCTTATATCTAATTACATATTGGTCGAGCTTAACATAACATTTTAGTATCGTGATAAATTGCAGTTTAATTCAGTGGCGTAACGAAGGGCCCTGCTGACCCCGCTGTGCAGGGGGGCGCCGTCTTAGGGGGGCGCCAAATCTTCGTTTGAATGTGGGACAATTTCGAAAACTTAACTAAAGTACTATCAAAAATGCGCGTTTTACTCTAGATACACACTTTTTTACTGGGGGAGATTTTACCGGCGTATCCTCTAAAATCACCTAATTTGTTCAATTTTAGGGAGGGGCACCAAAAAAGGAGGGGGCGCCAACAGGGGGGCGCCTTTTCGGCAGGGGGGCGCCAACAGGCAACGTTACGCCACTGGTTTAATTCCGTATCATTTACAGAACTGATGAGAAGGATGAGGAGGAGGACCGAGGAGGAAGAGGAGGAGGATGAAGAGGAGGAGGAGGACCCAGGAGGAGGAGGACTGAGGAGGAGGACTGAGGAGGACTGAGGAGGACTGAGGAGGATGGCTGAGGAGGATGACTGAGAGGGAAGAGGAGGAGGAAGAGGACTGAGGAGGACTGAGAAGGAGGAGGAGGAGGAGGAGGACTGAATAGGAGGAGGAGGAGGGGGACTGGGGGAGGACTGAGGAGGAGGATGGAGGACTGAGGAGAAGGATGAGGAGGAGGACTGAGGAGGACTGAGGACTGAGGAGGAAGAGGAGGAGGATGAAGAGGAGGAGAAGGACCCAGGAGGAGGACCCAGGAGGAGGACTCAGGAGGAGGAGGAGGACTGGGGAGGAGGAGGACTGTTGAGGACTGATGAGGAGGACTGAGGACGAGGAGGAGGAGTAGGAGGAGGACTGAGGAGGAAGAGGACTGAGGAAGATCAGGAAGACCCAGGGGGAGGAGGAGGAAGAGTAGTAGGAGGAAGCATCTAAATGTTATTTCCATTTTTGTCCGTTTTTGTCCATTTTTGTCCGTTTTTGTCCGCTCTATTTTTTGTCCGTTTTTGAAAAGGAGGAAGAGGAGGAGGATGAAGAGGAGGAGAAGGACCCAGGAGGATGACCCAGGAGGAGGACTCAGGAGAAGGAGGAGGACTGAGGAGTACTGAGGAGGATGGCTGAGGAGGATGGCTGGGGAGGATGGCTGAGGAGGATGACTGAGGAGGATGACCGAGGAGGAAGAGGAGGAGGATGAAGAGGAGGAGGAGGACCCAGGAGGAGGAGGACTGAGGAGGAGGACTGAGGAGGACTGAGGAGGATGGCTGAGGAGGATGACTGAGAGGGAAGAGGAGGAGGAAGAGGACTGAGGAGGACTGAGAAGGAGGAGGAGGAGGAGGAGGACTGAATAGGAGGAGGAGGAGGGGGACTGGGGGAGGACTGAGGAGGAGGATGGAGGACTGAGGAGAAGGATGAGGAGGAGGACTGAGGAGGACTGAGGACTGAGGAGGAAGAGGAGGAGGATGAAGAGGAGGAGAAGGACCCAGGAGGAGGACCCAGGAGGAGGACTCAGGAGGAGGAGGAGGACTGGGGAGGAGGAGGACTGTTGAGGACTGATGAGGAGGACTGAGGACGAGGAGGAGGAGTAGGAGGAGGACTGAGGAGGGGAGGAGGAAGAGGACTGAGGAAGATCAGGAAGACCCAGGGGGAGGAGGAAGAGTAGGAGGAGGAAGCATCTAAATGTTATTTCCATTTTTGTCCGTTTTTGTCCATTTTTGTCCGTTTTTGTCCGCTCTATTTTTTGTCCGTTTTTGAAAAGGAGGAAGAGGAGGAGGATGAAGAGGAGGAGAAGGACCCAGGAGGATGACCCAGGAGGAGGACTCAGGAGAAGGAGGAGGACTGAGGAGTACTGAGGAGGATGGCTGAGGAGGATGGCTGGGGAGGATGGCTGAGGGGCAGTATCGAGATAGCCCGACCACTGGTCCGCGGACCACTGTCTGCGGACCACTGTCTGCGGACCACTGTCTACCAGATCATATTACTGTATAATAACAGTATCCCCTGAATCAAGCAACAGGTGTTTGTGAATAGTTGATTGGTTACCAGATCATATGTATGGTATCTTGGATGCAATTAGTTACGACTAGCATAATTAATTGTAGCGTAGTAAATTACTGGAGAGCTCCATGTCCTGTCCTGGGTGTAATGCATCTATGTCCCTGGTTCCCTGCTCATCCTCGAAGTCTCCAGATGGACTGATATGGCGCTGCTCCCCCTGCAAGAAGTACAAGAATATTAGAACAGACAGCATCCTCTCTGGACAGAAGCTCGCTCTCAAGACCTTCATACAACTGCTGTTCTGTTTGAGTATAAAAGGACTAGCTGGCATTGCGGTATCACAGATGACTGGACTTTCTGAAAACGCGGTGTCTGACTGGAAGATATTTTCTCTGAGACTATAGTTGTAGTTGTTCAAGAAGGAGTTGATGATAGAAATGATTGATGCAGTCTGATAATAGTTATTTTTTATATATTGCATGATGTGAACTGATCTCGTAAGGTTGCTTAATCGTTTAATAAGCCTTGACACCACCGCTGATTGGAATTCGCGTGCGATGATGTGAACCCTGCTTGATTCAGGGGATGATGTGAACCCTGCTTGATTCAGGGGATACTGTTATTATACAGTAATATGATCTGGTAGACAGTGGTCCGCGGACAGTGGTCCGCAGACAGTGGTCCGCGGACAGTGGTCCGCGGACCAGTGGTCGGGCTATCTCGATACTGCCGGCTGAGGAGGATGACTGAGGAGGATGACTGAGAGGGAGGAGGAGGAGGACTCAGGAGGAGGACTCAGAAGGAAGAGGAGGAGGACTCAGGAGGAGGACTTAGGAGAAATGAGAAGGAGGACTGAGGAGAACTGAGGAGGAGGAGGAGGAGGAGGACTGAATAGGAGGAGGAGAAGGAGGGGGACTGGGAGAGGACTGGGGAGGAGGAGGACTGATGAGAAGGATGAGGAGGAGGACCCAGGAGGAGGAGGACTGAGGACCGAGGAGGAAGAGGAGGAGGATGAAGAGGAGGAGGACCCAGGAGGAGGAGGACTGAGGAGGAGGACTGAGGAGGAGGACTGAGGAGGACTGAGGAGGACTGAGGAGGACGGCTGAGGAGGATGACTGAGAGGGAAGAGGAGGAGAAAGAGGACTGAGGAGGACTGAGAAGGAGGAGGAGGAGGAGGAGGACTGAATAGGAGGAGGAGGAGGGGGACTGGGGGAGGACTGAGGAGGAGGATGGAGGACTGAGGAGAAGGATGAGGAGGAGGATGAAGAGGAGGATGAGGACCCAGGAGGAGGACCCAGGAGGAGGACTCAAGAGGAGGAGGAGGACTGGGGAGGAGGAGGACTGTTGAGGACTGATGAGGAGGACTGAGGACGAGGAGGAGGAGTAGGAGGAGGACTGAGGAGGGGAGGAGGAAGAGGACTGAGGAAGATCAGGAAGACCCAGGGGGAGGAGGAGGAAGAGTAGGAGGAGGAAGCATCTAAATGTTATTTCCATTTTTGTCCGTTTTTGTCCATTTTTGTCCGTTTTTGTCCGCTCTATTTTTTGTCCGTTTTGAAAATATAGGGTACCGAACGGACAAAAAACATGATCCCCCTATAACAGCAAAAATTGAACATTTTATTTAGCAATTTAGGTGTCCATTAATGTCCGCCTATGTCCGCCTATGTCCGTCTATGTCCGCCTATGTCCGTCTATGTCCGCCTATGTCCGCCTATGTCCGTCTATGTCCGCCTATGTCCGCCTATGTCCTGTCCTTTTTGGATTCTATGAGACAAGCGGACATAGACGGACGTGACACCCCCCCCCCCCCCCCCCCCATTATGACCCGATGTGTTTTTGTTGCCCCTTCTTATAGCAGCTCTATCTAGAAAATGATCAGTCATTAATTAATTAGGGGCTGGTTCCTATCAATAAAGTATTTAATTAAGAAAAAGTAAAGGCCAGTCGATCGTTACGTTACTGCTAAAAAACGGTGATTAAGCTGGTGAAATCAAAACTACATAAGGGGTCGTTCACATATTTCGTAATCAGCCGAGGGGGGGGGGGGGGGGGGGGGGCCGGGGGGGTTTCAAATGCTTACGGTAAAAATTGCCAAAATATTGATTACGTAATATGCGAACGACCCCTAATTTGAAGCGATTGTGCTTGACAACGAATTTTAGGTACATTTGGTTGTTCCTGTTTGATGAGCCTAGCGATAATATTGTGTTTGTGCATTTACCGAAACAAGGTTAGAACGTAAATAATGTGCACATTATTTATGATGAGATGAAGTTTATTTTGATTGGGGATCTCTCTGACACAACATTTAATGACATTTACGAAGAAAGTAGAGTCATGAAAATTACTGGAAGATTATCAGCTCCAGTACAGACAAGACAAGCTTACCTTAAAAAGTGTCCGGTTATCTGTATTGTGTATGGATTGATAGACTCGATGATGAAAAAGTAAGATAAGTTAAGTGCATTCTTGCAAAACATTTTCGTAACAAGGTAAATTGCAGGTACTTCTACTGAGGATCGAGCCCATAGTCAACAGACACCTTGAACCTATTCAAGAGGTAGTGAGCGCTGAACAGTGTTGGAATATCACAGATGAAGGAGACAAGGTTTTGTTCAGAACACAGAACGAGATCTATTCGTCCGACTACCACGTAGGGCGGGAGGGCGGCATATCAAATGACACGAGGACCAAGCCTGGAGAGGACACCTACGCCGGATCGAATGAAGGAATAGCTCGGTGGCCTGTTGGCCTGGCGCATCTGTGGGCTGAGCCGCGCAGTAAGAAACTGCTGACGCTTATAAGGATCGCTAACAGTGTCACATTTTCGACTTATCGTTGTCTTTGCGGCCTACGCGAAAGTGAGCAATTCCGGACTATTCTTCACAACTATGTGGACATGGATGGAAGATATGTTTAAAACAAACAGTATGTGTTACTATTGCTAACTGAGGGTGTAAATTATTAGGAAAAGAAGAACAAGCACAATGAATTTTTTCAAGATAATCACTCTTTTGCAAAAAATGGTTCATTAACATGATACGAACTTCGTCTAAAAGTAACTAATAAATTATTGATTTTTATTTCACTCCTTATTCTACAGTTTTACAGATATTATTGAGTACTATAAGTATTGACTCTTGAGATATGTCTATGATTGATTTGATTTCATGACAACATAGTCTCTGGGAACCCGAGCAATGTGTCTTTTAAATAACAAATCTGATGACGAAGTTTTACAATGTACAAACTGAAAATTCCGCAGATAATGACAATCACAATCTATTTCCGAATTAAGTTAATCAATAATTCATTTCCATATGTCAGTTAAGGCCACGTAAGGAAACAAGAACTTGTCGCGGGAAACATACTAAAAATCACAAATTAGTTCTCCGAAATCTTCCATGTAAGGGTCGGGCTCAGGTAGCATTTGAGCTCTAGTAGTTTACAAAAGCGAAATAAATAACTGGAGCGTCTTTATCTAATCTTCTTTACCGATGATAACTATATCTTCGGTGATGAATTCGTGTTTTGGAACCTCCAAATTGAGGGGCGCTGGTCCCTTCATTATTCGGGCGCTGAAAAAAAAGTGGTATGAGTAAACAGTTTTTTATATTGCTGGTTTTACACAGATTGTGATCAAACGACTGTCTTTCTAAGTAATGGGCTAGTTAGCGTTACCAAATAGTTAAAATATTGTACATATTAAGCACTCGGCAAGATAACGGATAAAAATAACACGTTCCGCTATTTTACGGCATAAACAATCACAATCGACTTCTAATAATCTCACCAAGTGTCGTAATGAGAACCATGACAAGGGCAGTAATATCCCTTCCAATCCCCAGCATGAGCGATGGGAACACAACCCAGATGTGTACACACTCCCAGACAGATTAGAAACTTCTCGTTTACACACCTGAACAATAACACGGGGTTTAGTAATAGAGAATAGGAGTACCGCGATCCGCATTACTTTGTGTTGGGTTATGCCTCAAATGATTTTATTTGTTATGATTTGGTATGGGTATGGTGCTTATAACGCTTAAATTTAAAATTATAGAAATCATCCCTTCTCTCTGGGAATGTCATGAAATCAATTGCTCTTAAATTCAGACCTCCCAGCCAGGTCCGGCCCCCTTAATTATTAATGAAGCCCTGAGTGATTGTGCACTAATAGCTCAAGACAGCTACAAAACACGAAAATACCCTTTTAAAAAAATAAAGTCACATAAAACAATTAACAATACCTCTCGGCGTCAGTTTGAGGGTCACGCATTTGGGACACATTTGCGGCCTTAGACTTGTCAATCTCCTCCTGGGTCCGATGTCTGATGAACAGAGGCTTACCTCGCCACGTGAACACAGCATTCTTTCCTGCGAGTACAAGTGTTTTAGTGCGCTTAATTCAACATAAATTATTTATTCATAAATATATATACATTAATAATATATTATATTATATACATTATAAGGACGAAAAACTTACGAAGAGAAATTATTATAATACACTGCAACTGCCCACTGGATCCAATTACCTTCAGGGACAGTTCCGAGATCGATCTCGATGGCAGCAGCAGCGTACTTGTCACGACCGGGTCCCAGAAGCAGAGCAAGACCGTAAAGTGAATACTTTGCCAAGTACAGGACAATGCCTGAACCAGCACCAATTATCATGTACGGTGGTAACTGGAGGGAAGATCTTATGTTAGTCTTACTTACTGTGTTATGTGTATCTACTATCTATTATATCATAAACATGATGAGAAATAAAGGTTACAAAACGTTGATATTATGTTTAGAATTAAGAGCTGATAACGCGAACGGCTTCAAGCAAAGTTTCTTTACGTTTTGTCTAGCATTCCTGTCGATTGCATCAGTTTGAGACTTCCAATTTGATTTTCTGTCTTCATCCCTGAATGCTGGTTGGGGCATATCTCCGTGTAGAGATGGGGTTGCCATCTCTCCATTGCCACGCCAGAACTTTGTGTCTATGGACTTGCCACCACTCATATTTCTTACTCCATCTTTCTCGAATGCTGAAATTATTTTGATGTTATTTTAATGTCGTAAATTGACGTCACTTATCGAGATCGAGATAAGGGTATTCTGGAATTGTCTGACAAGTATCTTATAATCAGATGACTATAAGTTGAACCAGCAAAATAACAAGTTAAACAGAAAACTTACAAGCGAGCTTGGATGATCTGAGGGCAGCAGCAGTAGTTGCTGGGGCGGCATTCAGCACTGCCGTCAGCGAGGAAAACTCTCGGACTTTTGATCGTAAACACAACATCCTTTCAGCTTTTAGTGCATACTACCCTACTACTAGAAATGATAAGTTAGAAGGATTTATGATTTAAGTCAACTCCCCACCAGTTAGAAATTCTTTTAGATGATGCTGATCATAATTTGTAATTGATTTTTAGCTGAATAGAGTAAAACATTTTTTGCAATGAATCCAACGAGAATTTAGGTACGAAAGATTTTTAAAGGGGGTGTAAATGTGAGATTTGACTTTCGTATATTAATAAAATTTATCTTCCCTTGAATTCAGAATGGTGCCCCAAGTAATTACATCAAACAACGAACTTTCTATCACACAAATTACTCAAGATATCGCTTGCTTACTCTAATTCGGTCACAACATCAAGCGGTCCCCCATTCTACTGCCTACTATTAATCTATGTGTTATTTCAGTCTGTGTATCTGATTTATAGCTGCTTTATTTGATTATTTTCAGGCACTTCAGATTTCCAATTTTGTTCAAAATTTTAAGTACTCTCAATATGAGATTCTCCTGCATTAAGAACTTAGGTCAATTTGCCGGTTTTATTATCATTAAGTTTATATGTAATTTATAATATCACTGTTGGCCCTCACATCCTAACTGTTAGGATGTGAGGGCCAACAGCAAAATATATACCTAACATGTATATTTTGCCTGTATTCTCGTTTTAGTTACCGTCTTATTCTCTACTTCTATTGAAACTGTGTTTGACTGGTAACAACTATTAGCTATACTGGTAACGACTATTAGCTATACTGGTAACGACTATTAGCTATACTGGTAACAACTATTAGCTATACTGGTAACGACTATTAGCTATACTGGTAACGACTATTAACTATACTGGCTTGTTGAAGCTACCAATTTCCTTATTTTAGTCTCCTGCGTGACATTGACGTGTAATTGTATACTTATTTATGTAACTTTCTGTTAAACTTCAAGCAAAATATTTGTTTTGTGGCTAATCGGAAAAATAAAAGGTTAATCTAAAATTATCTTCATTATTGTTAAAAAGACTGCAAAGGTTAATATTTTTAGAAATAAATCGTTTTCACAAGAACGTTCTGGGTCCAGTGCTTCTATCGAGTCAAATTCAATTTTATGCAAATCTAAATCTTCAAAAGAATAGCAAACTGCTGTCACATTTAACGTTTCAATGTAACTACATCATATTCATTTTTTTAAAAATATTTTAATCAAAAATTCAAAACGTAAAAAATTTATCTATAAATACAACTATAAATAAACTGTGGGTTACAATTTATAATATCAATACTTTTTATCAGACGAAAAATTCAGAAAAAACTAAGAATATTAAATACTTAGAAAAAGTAATAAATACAGAAACACGAAAGATTTAGTTAAATCCAGGATTTTGAAATATTTGGTATCATTGTATACTGTATAGATTAGCCATGCTGATCTCAGAACACACGGCCAAACTCTTGGAAAACTTGGATTGCTGAGATATCGCTATTCAAAAACGGCTGTAGCTAAATAATTTAACAAAAACCTGTGTAATTTTGATAAAATTTGGGCTTGACGTCTACCTGTTTTCAATAGCTCATTCTTTGTTGATTTAAAATAATAGAACCTTGGAAATTTCTGGAATTTCTGTACAAATATCCATCTTACACAATAGTATTAAAAACAGAATGTTTAGAAATAATCGTGTATTTGGTATACACCATGGTATCGGCAAGGCAGAAACAAACCTACTCGCTTACATTTCAAAACATAACTTAAGTCAGGATAGGCGCCAAACAACCAGAGATTGAACATTTTTTGGAATATTTTTTCATTTGGTGTGCTAATGTGATGTGCCTAGTTGATAAACTAATAATTTGTACAATATTATTATTAAATCTTAGATAGCTAATAATTTAATTGATTATTGTACAATATCTCAAGTTCGATGAATAATGGAGTCATGAAACTTATCTAGGGACCAAAAGCTCTAATTTTAATCTGAACAATAAACGTCATAATATAAAACCGATTACATGCTAATTGAAAGTAGCGATATTTCATTAATCGCAGCAACCAATGTTCACATTCGGCAGATATCTTGACACAACATTTCTGCACGTACCAATTATGTTTACCACCTTATAAATGGAATAACACCTGTTAAAACTCGTATTTACAACATTTCTCGAAGAACAGCTTGTTCGCAGTGACTTTGACAGCACTGGAAATTACCAGTAGTGCTCCACAAACACTCAGCACATCAGGAATACTGTAAAAGAACACAACCTGAATAGCATATGCAACAACTATATATCACAATTTCTGATGAGAACCCCTGGACCAGATTTCTCTATGGCCAATCCACGATTTAAAAGGAGAAGAGCAGCACACAAACCAAATCCTGCAACACAGATGACCAACCTATCTGTAAAACACCCAGGAAGAACAAACTTATCCTCATAGATCAGTTAAAATATAATCCCATCCGGACAACAATTATTGACACAAGCAGTGAGACTAATATGGGGCTAACCTCAGTACCAACTTTTCTCATGCGACTGAACGCAAATCCATAGATAATGCCACCAGCTATAGGAACCAACTTCATGAACGGGTTAAATTCCTTTACTTGTGACTCCACCAAAACGCCAAACAAAAAAGTCGGCTTTACAACAAGAACAACACCTGTTAAACCGATAAATAGGGCAACTAGAGTGAAGATACTCAATTTCTCTTTCCAGAGGACTCGGGAGAACAAATCCGCAAAGATGGGAGATAATGAATTAAGGGCCACACTATCACCGTAATCCATTTCTTTGGCTGCCCAGTATTTAAAAATTCCACCTATAGCACCAAAGAAAGCTCTAGTGAGCACGAACTTCGCTTTACCATGGAAACTAACTTTCTTTTCTCTGAAAAATAGGACTGGAAACTTAAGAACAAGAAAGAAAATGTGAACACTGATGAGGAGAACTGTCCCACAGGCATGTGTCCTACATGCTTGTTTTGTTCAGAGAATATGCATTCACATTAATTATACCATCCAGAAGTATCAATAGTTTTCCTTCTATCAGCCTAAATATTGATTTGCAGGTTTTTTTGGAATTCTTGGCTTCGATTGTTTGTCTGTCAATGCATTCAATGTCTGCACTCAATATATGTTCATCATTAAGCTTGTTTACTCGTATCTGCTCTTGCCCAAGTTCAGGAAGAGCCTTTTGATGTTCATTTTCGATATCACCCATACTCCATCCAAATCTGTTATTTCCAATCCTTTAATTTAAAATTACGATGATCATTTATAGATATTTGAATCATCTTGCACGCAATATAATACTCTAAGGTGATTGCATTGTAGGTAAAGTAGTGGCAGAAAGTTAATGACAAAACTATAATAATGACAACCACCAAGCAATGCCAAAATTTAGTACAAATACGATGGGTCCTAAAGCAACGCCATGTTTTATATTAAGTACCTGTAACTATGCAAATGCAAAATGGGGTACTGTAACTTCTCATTTGAAAATCCGGTGATCGCCAGAATTGGAAAATTCAACTTCAGATGCCACATTGAATTGCTTGAACGAACTCTTACTGTTAACGAAAATGCTAGAAAATCCTAAATTTTACCATAACATAATAACTGTAAAAGTGGAGTATCGACTTTTCCTTGAAATTTGTTAATCATTTTGCACCAATTAATAAAGACAACAGTTATTTCGATAAGGCCAGGGGGGACAGAGGCCCAAGTTGCGACATAAACCAGACAATATTGAAGATTTATAATTAAATATTGAGCCCTTTGGCTAGAGAATACTTTCTTAGATATTTTTGACAGTTTTTAATATTGGTAATGTTAATGAATTGTAATTGATTGATAGAGGAATTTAATTCTCCCTTTGAATCAATCAAGCTAGATGATTTATTGTAAATACTGAGATCAAACTATCAATTTACAGGCTATCGTCAAACATGTTGCAAGGCGTCATCTTCAGTGACATAAGCCCTACAAGTTGTAAAAAGTTAGTAAAACCCAAAATTCCTTTAAAAATCTGAACACTCTTAAAACGGTTATATAATTAAAATTAAGATGTTAGGAGTAAGGGAGGCCTAAAGGATTTATAGTGTTTATTCCCAAAGGTTTTAAAGTCTTGAGTTGTTGAATATATTTATGTTCACGAACTTCTAAAGTTTTAGGACTAGAATTATCAATAATTAAAGTGCTGAAAGAGAAGCATCCCAAGGCATCACCTGCATCAAAGGGAAGCTGTCTGAGTGGACCAGTGGGGAGGGTAGAGCCGGTTATATTCGACAGTATTGACGGGGAATCGATAAGACAAGCAGCAAAGAGAGTACAGGGTGCTGCAGGGCCTTCAGGGATGGATGCGGATGCATGGAAGAGACTACTGTGTTCTAAACAGTTTGGTAAGTTCGAGTGTGAGGATCTATGTAATGCCATAGCAGGGATAGCAAGGAAACTATGTGTCCGGAATTTGGATCCAACGCTGTTGACCTCATTGACAGCATGTCGACTTGTCCCCCTGGATAAAAAGCCTGGAGTCAGGCCAGTAGGCATAGGTGAAGTCTTAAGAAGGATAATAGGGAAAACAGTAATGACCCTCCTACAGAAAGATCTGGTTGGAGCCACTGCTCTTATTCAAGTTTGTGCTGGTCTTCAGGGAGGAGTGGAAGCAGCAGTCCATGCTGCAAGGGACTGCTTTGAAGACCCTGAAACTGAAGCTATCATCTTAGTGGATGCAGAGAATGCATTCAACTTGCTGAACCGAGAGGCTGCTCTCAACAACATGAACATTGTTTGTCCAGAAGTTGCTACTTACATTATGAACACCTACAGAATGCCTGCTAGACTGTTCATTGCAGGAGGAGATGAGCATCTTTTTAGTGAAGAAGGGACCACACAAGGTGATCCACCTGCCATGGGATTTTATGCCTGTGGTACAATACCATTGATTGATGCAGGAAACATTGAGAGAAAGGTGACTCAGATCTGGTATGCTGATGACTCTGCTGCTGGGGGAAAACTGGAGGAAATAAGGAAGTGGTGGGATAACCTCTGTATTAAAGGACCACTCTTTGGATACAACCCTAAATCTTCTAAAACATGGGTGATAGTCAAGCCTGAGCACGAAGAGAAGGCAAGAACCCTATTCCCAGATGTCAATGTGACAAGCATTGGTCGACGATATCTGGGCAGCTTCATTGGAACAGACCAAGGAAAAGAGGCTTTCATTGAGGAAAAAGTTCAAGAATGGTGTCGTGATCTTAAACAGTTAAGTGATATAGCATCAAGAGAACCTCAAATAGCATACAGTGCATACATGTATGGGCTTAGTAAAAGATGGAACTATGTGTGCAGAACTACCCCAGGAGTTGCAGATAGGCTCACTCCTCTAGAACAAGTAACACGTGATGAGTTTATCCCAGCTATCATTAACAGGCTGTTTAGCTGCACTGATGAACTAAGGAACATAATGGCTCTACCACCAAGATATGGAGGATTGGGTATACCATTTATGATGGAAATGGCAGACCGAGAGTACAATTTCTCATGTAGAGCCACAAAACCCCTTAAAGAAGCTATTCTCAAGCAGATAGACAACTACACAGAGGACTGGAGACATAGTAAAGGAGTGAAAACTGAGATAACGACTGAACGAAATCTCTTTTATCGACAAAAACAAGCAGAAATACGCCAGGAGCTCGAGTCAACACCACTGGCAAAGTTGATGTTCCAACTAGCGGCTGAGAAAGGGGCAAGTGCTTGGTTAACAGCACTACCTTTAAAAGAGTATGGGTATCTGATGAATAAACAACAGTTCTCAGATGCAATAGCTCTCAGATACAACCTGAACTTAAAGGACTGCCCTAAAACATGTACGTGTGGCCAGAAATACTCAGCAAACCATGCGCTCATCTGCAAACTTGGTGGATATGTGTCACTGCGGCACAACTCGCTGAGAGACACCTTTGCAGAACTAATGAGAACTGTGAAATGCAAGGATGTGCAGACTGAGCCAGTTCTTCTTCCAGTTGATGGTCTACAGTTACCAAAGGGAACAGTCCTAGGAGACCAAGCCAGGCTGGACATTTCTGCAAGATCGATTTGGAATGCTTCAGAGAGGGCATTTTTTGATGTAAGGGTATTTCATGCCCCAGCCCCCTCCAATGCAAGCAAACCGATACCAGCAATGTACTTGTCCCATGAAAATGAGAAAAAGCGATGTTACAATGCAAGGGTTCTTGAAGTGGAGAAAGGAAGCTTCACACCTTTAGTGTTCTCAACTTCTGGTGGAATGGGTGGTGAAGCTGAGAGACTGGTCAAGAAGCTGGCCAGTAAGATGGAGTACCACACTGGCCAGAGGTACTCAGACGCTGTAGGATAGTTTGCTCTAACCAGAGCCCTCTCGCTTGCAGTAGCGCGCGACCGCCGAAGGCTACTGTACTGTACTTGTGAAACAAGAGCGTCACGCACTGCTACAACCTATTCCTGACCTTAAATGATACACAATAAAATGGAATGTTAATACAAAATAAAACTCGGAATTATAATAAATAAACTGAAATAGAAGGTGTTAATAAATTAACACTAGATATTATAATAATTCACTTACTCACTAACCTCCCTAGACCTGTACCCGATTCCCACTATAAACTAACTACTAACTAACTACTAAAATATCACCAAATAATATCCGAACTAAAAGTCTTTACTTCCTACTAAAATATATTACTAAAACTATGTTTATACAAATTACACTTCTTCGTTACTATCTTCTTTCTTCTAGTTGACTACTACTTACACTCCTAGCTACTGTTTACTATATCTTCTTATCTTCGTTCCACACTCCACTACAATACTACACACACACTAAAAACACCGGTGTTCTACTACACTATCCACGAAGGACTTCGCAGGCTGGTACACCTTCTACACAGCACTGTTACTCTAACACACCTTCTGTTACTCCTTCCTCGTTGGATCTCTTCTTTACCTCTTCTTCACCGTGACACCTTCTCACATTAGCTCAAATTATTTGTTATATAGTAGTGTTGAAAGTATTAAAACAGATAAGACTGAACATTGTGAAACAACGTTCCGCTTCGGAGACGGAAATAGGGTAACATCTACTCAACTGGTAACACTACCAGTAAACATGTTTGGAAGAAACTTCACTCTGAAGACTTATGTAGTAAATAGTGAAATACCGTTGTTACTATCAAGACAAATGATGAATGACTTTCGTTTTGTTATCGACATGAGGCAGAAAAAAGTTTATGCAATGGGAGGAGAGGAACCCATTTTAGATACTACATCAGGGCATTTAGTGGTGTCAATAAACGGAAGAGCGTTTAACCACGTTAACCCCTGCAGGATAGTACAAAATGAACAGAGCTCACAAACTGATGATGTACCAGAGAAAGAGCAAAGACCTCACCCAAAGGCAAAGACTCGTGATTCTCATGAGAGTGAGGGAGAGAAAAGAATCCCGACAAAGACAGCAACCTGGTTCTACGAGACTGTGTATTATTCAGACTCAGACTCAGAAGAAGATTCAACATCTACTTCAGCAATTAATGACGAAGTTGATACAGCAGTACGACAAGAGGAGACCACACCCTTACCACAAGAGGCTACCCCCTCAGTTGAAGTAGAGGAAATTAAACCTATACCACAAGAGGTTACCCCTCCGGTTGAAATCAAAGAAGAAGAGACTCAACCGAAATGGACAAGTAAAGAACAAACGGGAAAGAAAAACGCAGTCATACTGAAAAAGGGTGACACAATAAGATTCAGAGATGGAGACAATGAAGAATGGAAATGTGGGCTGATAGACAGTCGAGCAGGAAAGGCGACAGGTGCACTCAAGAACAGCTATAATGTGCACGTTGATGGTGAGGATGAGGCTCAAGTAATCGACCTAACTGATAAAAAGGTGGAAAGATTGCTTTGTACAAAAGAAGACAAACTCACAGTCACGAAAGAAGTACCAAAACAGGTCCCAAAAAAGGTCCCAACGCAGAAGATCGTCAGAAAGAAATAGAGACAGGACTGTTCCAGAATTCGCAGTGTCAACCATCAAAGACCTGAGCTTATACTCAGGAGTGTCAAAGAACCATTCATGTCATTTTAATTACCAACACGTGTAATGTAATTTACCAATTTGTGTCATTTTATTAATAATTACTTTAACAGATTTGTTTTACAAGAATTTATTTATAGTTTTGTATTGTAGTTCAAAACTACAACTTTTAACGGGAATTTTATATACTTTTTACGTGCATATTTAAAAGCTTATTTTAATATTCATGTATATTTTCAATTTTGTAACCTGTTTAACAGCGAGTGTTTTGACAGGGAAATTTGTAATATTTCAAACATCACCTGTTATGATGTTGATAACTGCAGTGTGGCAGTGTTTCCTAACAGTTAGATTTTAAAATTTTAGAAAGTTGGGTATTTTAAACTAAGAAAATTGGATAAATTCACTGTGTAAAGTTAACCTCATTTACGTATTTTCCTATAATTTTAACCCCGAATTACAGATCCCTATCTTCATGAACGGAAACTTTTTAAACTTTCAGGTCGAGTATATGATCTCGAACTGGTAACTATTAACAACAAATTTTCAGTGCCAAAGTCCTATCTCCTAACATCACTTTATTTTTTTCGCAGGTAATTTCTTGTCAGTTAGTCAGTACCTGTCAGTATCAATTTTAACACTGCTAACAAATAGATCAATTCATATAAAATATAAATATCGAGTGTGCATGTTAAGATATTGTTAAAGCTGTTGATTAGTTTGTATCTTACTGGAAAACTGAGTTTTAGAAACAGTTGAGCAATAACCTATATTTTGATTGTTACAGTTGGTGGAAGCTTTTTTCCAGTTCAACTAAGAGAGGTTTTGCTAAACTGTCGGCTTATTCTTCGGAATATTGACCTAGCTCCAGTTTAATCAGTTTTCTAGTAAAATTCTAACACAGCAATTTCTCAAGAAATACGGTATGTTTTAAAAGGGAGTTTCGGTGAAAACACCAATTTTAATCGTAAGTTATGATTTTGCAGAATTCTGCAGTATTATGGGGTACTTTGAATTTTGTAAATCTGATAATTTTTGATTCAGATGATTGAGACGGAAGTTTTAAAATGACGTGGATTTTAAACGATTTTTTTAAGTAGACCTTTTTCCTTTGTGAGAGGAAAATTTTGCTTATTACTAGCAAAATTTGAGATTTAGAACGGCGCGGCGTGTTCTGCACGACAGTTCTTTTTAGGAAAGAAAAAAATTTAGGAAAGAAAAAATTTTTATTTACCACAAAACAATCAATACATAATGTTATATTCATAAATAAATTCAAATTTCAATTTCAAACACATATACAGTACGCCGCGCACACAGCCACAATTTAAAATTGTTCAGAAATTCGTAGGTCAGCTGTAGGCGCCGCGCACATGATCTATTTAATTGTTATCTTACAATTACATGTCACATTTCTTAATTTCTAGAGCCAAAATTTCAGAAGCAAAATAATTTAAAAGATATTTCTGTCGTTCACGCAGTACAGGCCGTGAACACTGCGACCTAATTAATATAATAATGGAGAGATTCCAAAAAACCGCGCGCTCGTTATTTGTGATTAAATTGAGTGCGCGCCACTGTCAACCGCAGTACCGCTCAAGCATGAAGTACTAAGTACGGTACGCAGTTTTGCGTGAGGCGTAGACATTTGTAGCACACGTTTCATTCAACTAATCCATTATGTGACATGTAATTATATTAAAGCAAAAAGAATATTAATTTTAGTAATAATTGACGTAAACATATGTGTTTAAATAACATCTATAATCTAGCGAGTTACTAATACCATTTGTTTGTGTTATTGATTATATATGTTTACACTAGCCTATATTATGATGGAGATATACATTATATAATTGCTCCAATATTCAACACTGCTAAACAACAAATACCTACTCGCCCATCGATGAAGCAGTCGCCAAAACAAAGCTCAAAGTTAATATATCCTCGTACTTCGTTTTGGAAACTGTAGAATTCCAATAAATAATTAGTGTTTCAATTGTGTATTCGATGGGCAAGCACTCGCCACTCGAGGCCGAGACAAACGGCACCAGCTCCGCCCTGCAACCATGAAGTAATGTAAGCAGTAAGGCGGGGCGGTGGTGTGCGCCGTTTATACGGCCCACAGCACGAGACATTTTGAGCTCCAAGACTTAAAACTATAAAAGTCCCGAATTAAACATAGCGACTTACCATCGTCAGCCGTCAAAAATTTAGAATTTGTATGTTATAAACTCTACACCTGCTATCAGTATAACATGTAATTTAGTTTGTTATTGGCTAAATTTTCAACTCGATTAAGCGATGCAGACGGATGAACTAGGCTTCTCCTCCGTCAAAAACACAATGAGAGGGGTTGTGGAAGGACACGAACACTATTCGTTAACTCGTACCCCGGGTACCCCCTAGAACCGTGTCCCATCAGAGAGAGCCCATCACCCGTCAGATCGAAAACAGTGTTTTAGTTTTGATATATGCTGTACCAATTACAATAAATGGTAAGTCAAGGCTGACGTTGGTAGCAAAATATAAAGTGACACGTCACAACAAAATAACCACTACACACTACACACTATACGCTATAACTATTGTACACAGTACACAGTATAACTTAAATATAAAATATAAACAAGTTACAAGAGACAAAAGAGTTTACAGAAGAGTTTTACATCGGCTCAGCACCGCCAGGACATTGGCTATACACGTGGGTCAATTAGTTTGATTTGGTATGGCTCGACCGGGAAAGTGGTCGAAATTAGTGCTCTTAATGAGTCATCACTGTCGTCTGAATATTAGAGCGGGAACTTCCCAAGTTTCGGCCGACAACGCGCACAGCATCGGCGCGCAATGCTATGCGCGTGCCCATATAACTGTGTCATTCGGCGGTTGCGCTCAGCGTAACTGGGAATGAGTTGTATGTTGTTTACCTAAATTCAAGCATGGTAATCATAGATAAGCTTATCAGTCAGTAAGTGCTTAAGTGGGAATAACGGGCAAATGAATATCACTTCATAATCAGAATTCAGTGAAATTTCTGTCACACCACTCAGTTCCATACCGGTTTTGAGCTCTTAGAAGTGACTGTTTAAGTAAATTCTTGACAGATCCGCATGAGGTGGATCGGTTTTCGGGCATTTTTTAAAAAAATTTTAAAATTGGGATGAGTGTTATAATATATGAGTTCTAAGATTATTCTTTGTATTATAAATATATATTATAGCTAATGTGAGAAGGTGTCACGGTGAAGAAGAGGTAAAGAAGAGATCCAACGAGGAAGGAGTAACAGAAGGTGTGTTAGAGTAACAGTACTGTGTAGAAGGTGTACCAGCCTGCGAAGTCCTTCGTGGATAGTGTAGTAGAACACCGGTAGGTTCTAGTGTAGGTTATAGTTTAGGTTTATTCTTTTATATTGATTGATGATAGTTGTAGGTTTATATATTTCTTATGTTGTAGATGATTCATATTTATTGTATTACTTATGAATCATATTTCAGGTGTTTTTAGTGTGTGTGTGTAGTATTGTAGTGGAGTGTGGAACGAAGATAAGAAGATATAGTAAACAGTAGCTAGGAGTGTAAGTAGTAGTCAACTAGAAGAAAGAAGATAGTAACGAAGAAGTGTAATTTGTATAAACATAGTTTTAGTAATATATTTTAGTAGGAAGTAAAGACTTTTAGTTCGGATATTAATTGGTGATATTTTAGTGTAGTAGTTTTAGTAAGTAGTTAGTTAGTAGTTAGTTTATAGTGGGAATCGGGTACAGGTCTAGGGAGGTTAGTGAGTAAGTGAATTATTATAATATCTAGTGTTAATTTATTAACACCTTCTATTTCAGTTTATTTATTATAATTCCGAGTTTTATTTTGTATTAACATTCCATTTTATTGTGTATCAATTAAGGTCAGGAATATGTTGTAACAGTACGCATATACCATATACACATGCAGCTATATATGTGAAAGAGCGAGTAATTGATTGATATGTAATATTTATGCCCATGGCCAGTTATCACCATAAAATGAATTGTTTTCATGATATATATAATGAAACTATCAGATGAAAATCAATTTATTTGATAGTGACAATCAGAAAATCAGGAGAGCAGAGCGTCCGCGTCAAATTTAATTAAAACGTGGGTAGTAAAACTTGGATATAGCATATAAAGAAGAAATATAAAGAACTTTTTAAAATTTAACCAAACGCCAGTCACTAAAATTAAGGTTAACGGGCAATATTCATAAAATATTTGGATCACGATGCACTACTCAGCCGTGCGAACCGTACCTGTAAATGATTCACATCGTCAGTGCACAATCTTGGAGGACTTCGCCGCGTCGACGCGCCGCGCAAACTAGCATTCACGATCGTTGCTCTGCTTCGCAAAGCAACGATCTTGATGGATTGACATCGTCAATCAATATGCACAATCAAGTAAAACGTTTATTCCAAAACCGTCGATGAGTCCAACTCGGCGCGCGTTTAAACGCGTTTTGGCCTTGGTAGGTTGTTAACTTGTCCATCGTTAATGGACTAGCCTGTAGCCCGCGGTGCGCGCTACTTCGATGAAATTTAGACGAGTAACATCCGTCAAGTTATAAACATGCAATCCTAAAAATATGAATATAGTGTTGTTAATATATTTGTTCACATAGCCATGTGTATACGCATACTGTTCACCTAACCATGTGCTTTCGCGCCACTTCGGGCGCGCTTGTTTCACAAGTCAAAAAAAGCACCTATCCACGAACCCCGATGGGAAGGTTCGTGCGCGCGTGCGCAGTGCTGACAACAGCGTCTATGTAGCGCAGGTAGTCTTGGCACTTCTCCCTCCAGTATGCAGTAACCACTTTTCAGGTTTCTATAGTGCATAGTGACAGTGTATAGGGGTTAATTAGGTATAAACTACAGTACAGATGTACTTACACCTACATTCACAAGCATGCAAGTTCACCTGGTCCAATGAGCGGGAAACGAAGGACAAGTTCTGGTGACGTCATAGTCACGTGACCTCATAGGCTCATAATCACGTGACCTCAGACCCAATCAATGATCAATTAGCTTCGGGCATGGTCCGGTCAGCCCCCTGTCACCCGATCTTGAGGTGACGTACGACACCTCGTTTACGCAATCAATGTCTGAAAGGCTACACACGTCGCATATATGAGGACAAAAGCGCGGGTAATTTTGGCACCACTGTAAAGTGGTGCCAAAATCGTTGGGTGGGTTGATGGCTAGAGCCCTTTTTACCGCCGTGAGGCGGGCGCGCGCTACTGCAAGCGCAAGGGCTCTGGATAGAGCAACGCATACTGCGTGACGCGCTTGTTTCACAACTAAACAAGCGAGAGGGCTCTGGTTAAAGCAAATATATTTGTATTAATAATTGAAGAATGAAGGAAGGTCTTACAAAACTTACAAAACTTAAAATATTGTTCATTGTTACAAAACTTTAATTTTGGTTTCATCCATAACTCAAAGTACACATTTGCGCTGAGCTGCAATATAATCAATAATTGCGCGGCTGGATTAAAGTGTACTATATTACGCGATTCAAAACACATTTACTATAAGTAAGTAATATTGAATATAATTATATCTTAAATTGTAAATATTTTAATTTGAGTAAAGCTTCAATTATTGAAGCTATATTCATTGTGTGTTTTAACAGTGCATAACATATATAATTCTAACTTTCTAAAAATTAGATTTCTATATGCGCGCGGCTCATCAATAATATTTTGTAATTATTATGTAATGTTAAAATAAAACAAATCTAATTGTTTTATTTGGTGCACAACTAACTGTTTTACAGTTTTGCATGTACTGTATTCTTTCTTTGACCCTACGATATAAAAGGTTGGACACAAACATTTTCAATTAGATATAGTGCCCCACCCACCTTTTTTCATGGTTCATACAAATTGCAGAATTGGTCTTATATTGTGCTTCTGAAAGTTATATTTGGATGTTATATTTGGATGTAGCGGTTTGACATAGTCTTTGTATTGGGGATTGCATGCCTATATTGCTGTTGTGATTTAACAAACATGACAAAAGCCTCGACACGATTGACTTGAAATGATTATTGATTTTGTTGAGCTGCTATGTTAGTGTTGAAGTTTCAAAAGTTTATTTGCTCCTTACTGTGACCTGGCGACCCCAGGCTATAGTGTTCATAAACAGAATAAAGATTCGGCGGAATGACAGGCTGAGCACCGCCCAGTAATTTGTTCCAAGAGACAGTTAAGTTATAGAATATGCAAGTCTCTGCTAGTTCTGATTCATCGTCTGACTGTAGGGGCAATGGGCAATGGGTATATGTGAATTTCCATTAACGTATTTTGTAACTAAGATGCTGTCAAAGTTTTGACTTGGATAAAAAGTTGTAACTTGTTGCACGATTTCAAGAAGTTAGCTGACCATTTGAGTCCTCCGTGTAACTTCAGACATAACTGATATCATCTGATGTTTGACAAACAGCTTCAGTACAAGTTATATTACTGCTGTTTTTGGTTCCATATTATTAAACTGGCGATGTTTGATACAATTAAAAACTAATAATTTTTTCCTGCAGAATCTCATTTTCTTTGAGGAGCCTGTTACCATGAGTTACTGGGTGGTGCTCAGCCTGTCATTTCGCCGAATCTATATATTATAGGCTGGGTTCCCCAGGTAAAGGAGCATGTTGCCAATTTTACAGCCTGATGATTCAAATGATTTTACCAAAAACTTGAATTATGAATCTTTCCATTGTATGCTTTTTTTTGTTGTTGTTGAATACTTCAATTTACAATTTTGGTATCTGAAAGTTAGCAAATATCGAAAATTGTCGAAAAACCTTAATAATGACTGCTTTTAGCTATGGTGACATATTCAGATCCTACTTTTGCTATGATAAGATCAAGAATTGAAAACATAGAAGAAATTCAAAGAAAGATTTTCAAATGCTTACATGAATCAGAAGCTCAGCTACAGCAGGTAAGTTTCATAGCTGTGAAACTGCAACAACCAGAATCCATAACGACATCTTGATAACTATTGACAAGAAAACTAAAGTTGTTCTTTTACTTCTAGATTTGAGTGCTGCCTTTGATACTGTCAATCACCCAAGATTAATCAAGAAGCTAAGATCTGCTTATGGCATTACAGGCATTGCTCTTACATGGATCAGGTCCTACTTGGCTAACCGTTCATTTTGTGTCAAAGTCAAGGATTCGTCTTCCTCAGCAACTGTTCTTGAGATAGGTGTGCCACAAGGTTCAATCCTTGGCCCCCTGCTATTCATATTGTACACCAAAGATCTTGAGAACATTGCAAGTATGCATGGGTGCTGTATTCATTTGTATGCTGATGACACCCAGCTGTATTTCACTCTTGATTCTGATGACCCATCACAGCTAGAGCACAATATGGAACACTGTATGTCTGATATCAAGAAATGGATGACAAACAATTTCCTTCAACTGAATTCTTCTAAGACTGAAATCATCGTTATATCCTCTAAATTTGACTCAACAAATATTCCAGCCTCTCTACAGATTGTTAAGGATCAAGAGCCACATGTTGTTAGTGGAACTGTGAAGAGTCTTGGGCTGTATTTGGACAGTTATCTTTCAATGAGTGATCAGATTACGTCAGTGGTTCAAGCATGTAATATTCAGATCAGAAATTTGTGGTTTATTGCATCAAAACTGTCTTTTAACCTTAAGATTCAGCTTGTTCATGCTCTAGTACTCTCTAGAATTGATTATTGCAATAGCGTATATTTTGGACTGAGCTCTTATGATTTAAGTCGTTTACAGAAGGTGCAAAATTCTGCTGTAAGATTTATTTTCGGGAGAGGAAGAAAGGCACACACTACTCCACTACTTAAGAAAGTTCATTTTCTACCAGTTAGATTTAGAATAGATTTTAAGATTGCCCTACTTGCCTACAAGTGTTTAAATAATATAGCTCCTCCTTACTTAAAAGAGTTGATATCTCCTAGGCAGCAAAGTTTTAAAAATGTACGTCTTGATAATGATTATTTTTACCTTAGTTTTCCGCCCTCTCCTAACTATGTAAACACAGAGAAAGCTTTTAGTCACTGTGCAGTTAAAGTATTTAATTCCTTGCCATACGACATAAGATCAGCTGAGTCAGTTACATCTTTCAAGACCAAACTTAAAACATACTTCTTTTCTCTAGCATTTGATTGATTTTGCATTTACATAGGTAAAATGAACTTGTCATGTCTAATTTTCAATTAAAATAAGCTCAGTTAATGTAAGAGCCGCTTTAGAAAGCACTGGAGTTTATCTCCAGGATTAAATTATATCGAGTTATATGATTTAGCTATAAGGCGGTTTATAAATGTTGTATTTATTTATTATTATTATGTCTTCTTAACAGCACGATGTACCAAAACCTGGTTTGAAACTTTGGTTCATGTTTCATTGTTGCCTTATACAATAAACATTGAAAGTTTGTTTTACAGATATCCCTACTGTACGCAGACAAGGATGCCCCGTCAGATACATGCATCCTTACCCACCAACAAAGTATGTATACCATTCTTCAATAAATATCATATTACATAGTTTGACTAATTTCCATTCCTTTGCTAGTAGATAATGAGAATTACATAAATGAAACAAAAGTTGATAAAACAATGGTTAAATTTTACAGTCAATCAATATTGTCTTCTTTAAATTAGTGAATTATATTCTCAAATCGTATAGAAGGAAGAATTTTAGATATAGCATGAATTTCATATCATTAATATTTCAGAGATTCGTGTTGTAGCCAAGCATCATGGATGGCAGTGGTTATTAGGTCGAGCTAATGTTAATGATAAAATAATAGGACCAGGCAAGCAGATAGAAATCAGCGTGATGTTTGATGATATTCTGGTTGAGAAGACTGTTTCTCAGAATGAGGTGAGACTGAGATAATATTTCCATTGTAGGCATGCTTCCATCATATTTCAAGTGTACACAATACAAGAATAATGAATACAAATATCTGAAAAATGTAACTGGTAAGAACTAAGAAGTAAATTCTTACAAGTTTGGCATCACAGATCTCTCCTTTTCTTCCGATATAATCCATAGATAAATCTCGCAGCATATTTTTTGTATATTCTGCAATAACTTAACATTCTTTTCACTTAATTTACAAATATAGTAGACAGTATAAAAGAATCTAATACGGTAGTCTATTAAATAGTCTTCTAATGTAGTCTACTACAATAGTCTATTACAATGACTGAAGAGATGACTCTTTTTGTGCTTTTTTCGTCTATCCAAGCCGAATTTTAAATTTCAGGTCATAGACGTCCACGGCTACAAGATAATAGACCTTGAGATAGGAATGAAAGTGTTAGCGGAATATAATCACAACGATGCTCCTGGTGTCTACTATACTGCTTCTGTTGCTGAGATTCCTGAAGAACAAAATAGATGTTCGTACTTTATTATCATTAAGTCGATGCAATGTAGAATTTCATTGAATATCATGTCCTCTTGTTTACAGCTTTTGACCTCTCAAACACCATTATTAGCCAATAAGCTAGATTGGAGGGACTGCAGCATTTTCTTACTTCATCGAAAAAGCCATAAAAAACACACAACTTTGTTATTTTTGAGTTCAACATCTTATTAATTGATAATAAAATTTGAATGTCAGAATCCAACCATCAATTTCCAAGATCATAATTAAGAGAAAGTCCTGTTTTGATTTTCTCTTTATTTGTAACTTATAAACCAGATACATTAAAACCCCGATTTACTACGTAGTTTTGGGGAAAGAAAAAGACGCTGTAAATCGGGGTGCAGTTAGGGGTTAGAATTTAGTATCGGCAGTCGTGGTAATGTTATGTCATTACAAATAATCAGATTTAGATAGTGTCAAAATTGTGTCAGCAAATATTGAAATGCCACTAAGTGGCTTGAATCGAACCAAAGTTCTTCGACGGTATTTTATGATTGTGTTTATGAAAGAGTACATAGTTAACATTACTGCCGTCACTGAAGGTCACTAAAATAAACCCTCTTCACTAACACAACACTTCCCCAAACAGATAGATATTTACTCCTATTTGATGACGGAACGGCCGGCTACGTAATCGGAGATCAGTGTTTTATATGTCCAGACCAATCCTTTATTAGCAGCGTAAACCCTGTCCACAAGCGCTTCATCCAGTACTACAACAGAATGGTCAGTACTAATGGTCGTATTAGATTTTAATTTGTCGGACAGGTTTGAAATGTGTGTTTGCTGTGAATAATGAATTGACCATGTTTAGCGTTGACTTGCCTGATTGACGTCATGGCAGTCGAGTAACAGCGTTTTGTCGTTAAATAACCAAACTTCCCCGCCCGTTTATTTAATCTCTCCGCTAGTACCAAGAAGGGGGATTCAAAATACTGGATCTTAGTTTACAAAGTACGATATTGACAGAAATCAACGGCCAGTGGAGAGCCTTGTCCTATTAACTTCACTGACTGCAATATCGCTAATGTCCAGGTACGTAACTTTTTAAGAGTAATTAGTTTAATTTGTCAAGTTGCTCTTTTTGTGACTAGACTTTTTATAAGCTAAAATATTCTAGCTATTTTTGTGGGCATGTTATAATGATATTTTAACGAAAACCTCTCCAACCGCACAACCGGCGTGTGGTATGCCTAGTATGTGAGAAGGAAATTTAACTTTTGCTTCATTAACTTTTGTTTATTTTTACGCATAAAAGCAGCGGTAATATGTGAAGTCGTGTGTGACTAGCGATCAAGACCGCTCGTTATACCGTTCTAACTGACATCCCCACGTCTTATTGGACAGTATTATAAATTAGCATATTATAAATGAGTGTTTCACTGCGTCGTCAGAAACAGTTGGGTCACAACCACCAAGGTCGGTTTGTGATAGCTTCTCGAAAGAAGACATCCGTCTAATGTCAAGGTCGGGTAGCACCTCCTTAGGAAAGACTACAGAGTGAGTTATTTGAAGCTACAACAAGTTCAAAGCATTTACTAGGCTTGAGTTTCATGACTGGGTAACAGAATATTAATTTGCTGCATATTAAATTTACTGTAGCTGAATTTTCAGAGTAATTTTGCAGGATAAATCAAAAAAAGTTGCTGGATCACGTAATTCTAAATGACGCTTCATTTGGGCAGGGTTCCACTGGCATAGCTCATTAGCTCGAGGATATAATATGTAGAGCCAGTCTTTGTTCTGCAAGTGCAGGATTTCAGCAGGAACATAATGTCGGACCCCTCCGAGCACAGTATTGTTTGCTAAAAGGCCGAGCACCATATGGGGTGGCAAGTCCCCATACATCGTGGTCCGGTAGTTTCATTGCGTCCTAATATAAAGATATTGAGATAAAATAGGCAATAAAAGGTGCGGTGTGGAGAATGTGCTAATGGTCCTCGATTCTGTAGCCACTATTCTCTAGCTTTTCGCGGTATCAAACCCACAGGTAATGGCTTTTGTGGTAGAATAATATAGTGCAGAAGTATTTTGGACAAACCAAGCTGGATAAAAGACCGGACGTGACCTTCTTCTTCTTCGTAGGGGGCTGTGGTCAATGGTCATGATTAGGATGACCACTATAAGATAGACCATTGGAGCCCTGTGCTTACCCCGGTAAAATATTTATTAGTGAAGAAAAAAAAGTTAATTTGTTGCTTGTATGAAGCCGACGAATGGAGATTCTTGTTAGTGAAAATTTGTCCACTATGTCTGTCACACTAAGGTCAAAGGAGTCAAAATATCCTCCTCGTGGGAAAGACCACTTCGGGCACTGACCAATAAAGTGGTTCATTGTCTCCTCTTCCATGAGACAGTGTGGACAGGTTTTAGAGGTAGTTGTCGGCTTGAGCTTGAGCTTGTTAAGATGGTAGTCTAATTCACAGTGTCCAGTAATTGTGCCGCTGTTATTGTGCTCTCTTTACCAAGTTTCGGGATGTAGTCTGTTGATCTTGACCTTCAGAATTGAGGTCGATAGCCTTTAGTAATAACCACGTACTGCGGTCTCTACTCAGCACGTGACGTCTAGATAGGATGAAAGACCGGACGTGACCACGCACTGCGCTCTGTCCGCATCACGTGCAGTGACCGCATCAAGTACTCTGAAAGTGCCGTCTAGCTACAACAAATACTCCGTCATGTAATCGATTACGTGGCGTCTAGCTAACATTATTTGACCACCCTATCTTGACGCACTTTATAATGAAATAAACCTGAACATAAGAATGTAATCCTAAAATACAGACAAGACATTAGCGATAAATATTATTTTAGCCCGATTAGATTAATGCTTCCCTCGAACATTAATCTGATATTCTTTCTACGTGAAAAAGTTCTGGCTAGTTATACAGTATAAGTTATAACAGTATACACATTGACATCACACATCACACTTTCAGAGCAAAAACTCACTCGCGATAAAGTTTTTTTTTCTGATAAAGCTAAGATAAAATGTCCAATACTCCGCCAAAACGAAGCTTATATTAACCATGACTATCTGTTTGAAAATGCTATGCGGTTCTGAAAACTTCTATTCTACCACTGAATTTTCTGTATCTGCTCATTGAAACTAATATATTCATTCTTTGAGATATTCATATATGTCGTGTGAATTCATGAAGTGTGCCTTTGCAAGATTTATATGTCCAGTTATCTAGTAACTAGGCACAGAGGCACTGCTAAGAGATTCATTAATAAACTAATCTACACTGCTATTTATAGCGACGGAGATTAGTTTATTAATGGCATGATACTTATGAGTATATTGTCATGAGACCAACTATCACTATACTAAGTATATTAAGACTATGAAGCAATAACTCATGAGCACTCTTAAGAAACATATTATTACTACTTTTGAACAGGCAGAAATCCTCATCCTCTTGTTTCAATCCCCCCTTCCATTATTGTCTTACTGAACAGGCCCTAACCAATATGCAATATTCGAAACTGTTTTGTGAAGCACACCTAGTAAGCTATCACTTCGAGATGGCCAGGCCTACTCTCATGCTGTCTATATGTGATGATTAACTCTGAAAAACTAGGGACAACTGGGGAATGATCCCAGAACCTCGAGATTTCGCGTCTCTTGCTCTACCAACTGATAAACACCTAGTAAGCGTTAGCATTTTAAGTGTTAACTCAAGAAGATGAGGAAGTGAGGTTCATGGAGACATAATCCCTGCAACCTTGACCACATATTGAGTACTGCATTGTTAGTTAAAATTGTCATTTCACCTAGCATGTGCACGAGTGGTATCCTCATTAACATTTGCATTCCTCCTTTTCATATGTCCAGCATAGTCTGGCGAAAGGCTGGAGCCAGACTGAAGATCATGCAGATTATATTTTTGTTGGACCACCTCCGTTAAAAGAGCCGAATTATACGTCATTTGACCCACCAAGAAATATTTGGATTCTTGGTTTATAGCGTTATAGATTTACGAAATGTATAATCTATCTGTAGGTACATTACTATCTATCTAATGTTCGAATTTTTGCGCCTCACGAAACATTTACTGAAATATATACATATTATGCTGAAATGAAAAATAAACGCCCAGATAATGCATAGGCTATTGAATAGTGAAGACTGCTGAGATGACGGCAACATCTTAAAGAGTGTACGTATATGAAGTTGTGTTTAGCTGGAATGTTAGGGTAGGAATCCTCCGTGTTTGAACAAGAGTCTTCTCAGTCTTCTCAGGATTTACATTAATTCAACGCAAGGCACATCACTCAATTAATGTCAGGTCCACTGACTTTTGTGTTTAACTGTACCCACAACAAACTCTGGTTAACTGAAATATCAGTAAACAATGTACATTATACAATATACATTATACAATATACATTATACAATATACATTATACATTAAACCATGGAACATTATCTGTTTCTAAGAAAAAGCAACCATGATCACGGAAGGGCGAATCTGTGTTACTGTTCTGATTATATGCTTGTTAATCTAGACACAATGTAGAGGTACATCCATTATTCATATCTCCGAACTAAAGGGGCTAACTTTGAACGCAAGAAAATGCATCCCCGTATCATTCACTTACTCTATGGTACAGTCTGACTTCAGTGACTGCTAATGCAATAATCGTCACGGAAAAACAATTTACATTCATTGGACACCCTTCTTTAGAATTTTGTGGTACCGACATCTTGGTAAATACCATACAAACATTGAATCTTCGTTCTTCAGAATTGAAATACTCTAAGAATTGAAATATTCTAAATACGTACATAATAAATAGCCGAGGGATCATTCACAAAAATATTGATAGAACAGCTCATGAGATCAATTTTCAGATCTCACCAGCACAGCAAAAATCAATTTCCTGATCTGATTAAGGGTTAATCAGTGATTATATAACCTGTCATTTGCTGAGCAGGCAGCAAATCACTTGATGTTGGTGGCCCAGTGTAAAGACAGAGAGGACCTATTGTGACCTATTCAGTGTACTACCGAGTACCGATTGAACTTCCTAGGAACTTCCTAATTGCTCTTTTGTAGAAAAATTTCCGGGTGTTTCGCCTCCTATCCTAAAGTACTTAAGTGCTAGCTTTATGGTGTAATTCCCGGGTGTTTCGCCCCCTAGCTTAAAGTACCAAAGTGCTAGCTTTATGATGTTTCCGGGTGTTTCGCCCCCTAGCCTAAAGTACCAAAGTGCTAGCTTTATGATGTAATTCCCGGGTGTTTCGCCCCCTAGCCTAAAGTACCAAAGTGCAAGCTTTATGGTGTAATTCCCGGGTGTTTCGCCCCCTAGCCTAAAGTACCAAAGTGCTAGCTTTATGATGTAATTCCCGGGTGTTTCGCCCCCTAGCCTAAAGTACCAAAGTGCTAGCTTTATGATGTAATTCCCGGGTGTTTCGCCCCCTAGCCTAAAGTACCAAAGTGCTAGCTTTATGGTGTAATTCCCGGGTGTTTCGCCCCCTAGCCTAAAGTACCAAAGTGCTAGCTTTATGATGTTTCCGGGTGTTTCGCCCCCTAGCCTAAAGTACCAAAGTGCTAGCTTTATGATGTAATTCCCGGGTGTTTCGCCCCCTAGCCTAAAGTACCAAAGTGCTAGCTTTATGGTGTAATTCCCGGGTGTTTCGCCCCCTAGCCTAAAGTACCAAAGTGCTAGCTTTATGATGTAATTCCCGGGTGTTTCGCCCCCTAGCCTAAAGTACCAAAGTGCTAGCTTTATGATGTTTCCGGGTGTTTCGCCCCCTAGCCTAAAGTACCAAAGTGCTAGCTTTATGATGTAATTCCCGGGTGTTTCGCCCCCTAGCCTAAAGTACCAAAGTGCTAGCTTTATGGTGTAATTCCCGGGTGTTTCGCCCCCTAGCCTAAAGTACCAAAGTGCTAGCTTTATGATGTATTGCCCGGGTGTTTCGCCCCCTAGCCTAAAGTACCCAAGTGCTAGCTTTATGATGTTTCCGGGTGTTTCGCCCCCTAGCCTAAAGTACCAAAGTGCTAGCTTTATGATGTAATTCCCGGGTGTTTCGCCCCCTAGCCTAAAGTACCAAAGTGCTAGCTTTATGATGTTTCCGGGTGTTTCGCCCCCTAGCCTAAAGTACCAAAGTGCTAGCTTTATGATGTAATTCCCGGGTGTTTCGCCCCCTAGCCTAAAGTACCAAAGTGCTAGCTTTATGGTGTAATTCCCGGGTGTTTCGCCCCCTAGCCTAAAGTACCAAAGTGCTAGCTTTATGATGTATTACCCGGGTGTTTCGCCCCCTAGCCTAAAGTACCAAAGTGCTAGCTTTATGATGTTTCCGGGTGTTTCGCCCCCTAGCCTAAAGTACCAAAGTGCTAGCTTTATGATGTAATTTCTACATTAAGCCACGTAGCCAGGATTATCTGCCGGGACCCCCGGAAATATTGAAGCATTTTGCCACAATATTATCCGGTATCTTGAGCACAGAAATTGCCTTAGAGACACACGTGACAGGTCAGACTTACATAGTAATATGAAAGCTTTCTGGGAACAGGACAGGAAAGGCTCCCGAAAGGCTATGCCCCTTGCACTGCGTCATTTCTGGTACGTGTTAATTCACACCACATACCAAAGTGTCCATGATACATCTGGAGTCTGAAGTTAATGTGGTTGGATTATCCCGTGATAATGAAAGGTACAAGTAAAGATAGACAGAGAATATAAACACGTAACATAATTCGACACGTACCTACTGTAGATTCTCAAATATACCCAGAGTAATTTTCATAGTTAATTTTCTGCGATCGCCAAGCTGGCAGCTGCACTGTGTAGTGTGTACCTGTTAATAAAAATAAATATAAAGAATGGAATTAAGAAATACACCCCACTTGTAATGGGCTACAGCTGATGCAATTGTGAGTCTTTAAAGCTATCACATCATTACAAGGAATGAGCAGAACATTGAGCTACCCGGTGAAATGTAATTAGCAGACAGGTGGGCTACATTTTATTGAAAATTATACTTAATCTACTTTGACAAATATGTTACCGCCAGAATGTGTGTTCAACTTTCTGTGCCATTCTCTCTTCCAGGAACAGTATTCTCTCTTTCTATGAGTGGAAATAAGCACATAATAATCCTTTCTTTTACATGATTACACTTTGAAGGGTTGAATGAAAGTTTTCTGTTATTCTATTTGAGTATTCAGCTACCTTAAAGTACTTATTTTTCGGTTTCACTATTTAAATAATTAGTGAAACATTAGTCAATCTAGGTTAACCGGTCACTCTGCAATCATAGCAGCTCCCATGTTTTTCAAACCTCTTTGGTTTGCAATGCCGTGTGGAATGTCGGCTAATCTACAAGGTATATTCATTTAATAAGGATCTGGAATGATTGATAATACTAATAACACTTGTAAGTTGTAATAATATTACAAGGATAGAAAAACATAAGAGATGTTTAAAGATCATGGCATTCAATGGATATGTAAGATAATTATGGAAAGATTCGAAATGCTAATAACATTACACCAAAACACAATGATGGTAATTCTGTCAATATAACAATACAACAATATAACTATATAACTATTAGAGATACTTCGTCAACATAGTCATTGGGGGTCGGCCGGTCGGGGGAAGGGGTAAGCTTATGACTATTTTCCGCCCCTATTATATATTTTAAAGTCACTATTGTGACGGTACATTAGAACTAGACAGAAACAAAGTGTGAAGGGCCTGAACGGAACCCCTCGGTTTCAGTTCCGAGCCTTAATCGGTTGATCTGCACTTGCAGGACTAGAACTTAGTACAACCAAGCCAATTTCACAATTATTTGATTTGCTCGTTCCTCCAGATACTCGAGTAAAGACAAACATCTGTACAGTGTAAAATCCACTATCCAGGCACATACCATGTACATACCATCACCATGTACAATGTACATACACGGTACATACAATGGGCATACCATCACCACCATGTACAATGTACATACACGGTACATACAATGGGCATACCATCACCACCATGTACAATGTACATACACGGTACATACAATGGGCATACTATCACCACCATGTACATCTTACATACACGTAACACGGCACATAACCTCTCGAGAGTAGTAGTTAACAGTATACACCTCCTATTATATCCGAACGTTAAAAACCGTGCGCCTCTACTTGGGTAAACAACACGTTGGTTCAAATTATGTCGTCAAACTTGGTTGCGAAACATATATTTGCTGGAAATTTATAGAATCTTACGGTCTATTAAACATTGCACCTCCCAAACATTCCGCATTCCACCTCCCAGCACCTCCCAGCTCCCACATGAAATAACGTACACTTTTCCTGCCTGTACACTTGTTAATGTAGACAAAACACTGTGCTTCCCACTAACACCCGGTCTATTCCAGGTATCACCAGACCAGGCAGAGTTTATCTACTGCGGCTCCCCCAGATTCGCTCCAATCTACCATCGACTCAAAGCACACCTCATCGTTTAACCCCCCGCTCAGCGATATCACCCTACCGATATATTTTCCTACTCAGAAAACATGTGAAGCTGAGCTGAGTAGCGTCAGAAAATTCCTGAGATTGCTAATATAGGATATCACTGGTCACGTGAGATGAAGTTTTAGACAACAGTTACGCCAGGGTACTCATCAACTATCTCGCGCTAACAACGTACTCAGTTCCAACTTTTGACGTGGCTTAAGGTGGTGCTAGTTAGAGTTGTTAATCTTGCTAGGATGAAAAAAACTCAGGGATCTCTCTCACTCTCTACTGTTACACCCACTGAGAGATTAAAGTTTTGCTAAGCCGGTGATGTTTAGAGAAAACCGCCGTATTGAATGTTGAGGCTCAAGTTCAGTGTTGATGTAATGACTAACTCTAATAACACAGCGGCATGGCACTCAACTAAGGAGTTTTATTCTTTTATTAAACCCGGCTGGGGCTTTTTTACACACATCCCCCCATCATGTACAAACATAAAGGAAGTGCTCTCGACTCCAGACTAGCGCACACCCCAACATCAAATGTTGCTTAATGTGATTCCTGATGACATAACCTCGTTACCTCCAGATGCAGCAGAACAATGTTATTGAGAGAGAGAGAGTGGGGCTAGCTAGCGGCTCTGGTGTTCAGTTGTACAGTACACGGGGAAAGAGCAGTGTTGTGCGCCCCTGTATGTGGTTGAGTAAGTGAGCAATCGGCACTGTATCGTGAGGGCAAGGACGCTGCTCCTGCATTGTTCCCAGTGTGATGCGAACAATAGCACCTGATTGTAGCGAGCAGATGTAATAAAAGGGCAGCCGTGCTCAGTCCGCTGTCTCTGCAAATAGACACAAGGTCTCACCTCTTACATTCTCTCTTGACAACAACAAAATGAGTCATCTTAGTTGATGGAGTGTAATCGATAAGTCACGTGGTGTTGTACGTGCTTTTGAGAAGATCAAGAGAGCTAAGAATATCAGTGTACGATGAGTCTTACAACAAGTGGATACCTTACTACCTTAGCTTTTACCGAGATGGGGACACTCATTTTATTTTATCAGGGTATATTATTAATCGTCATCAATTTATCAATTTGTAGTATGAGTATTGTGAAAGGTTTTGTCCTTGTGACTGGTGAGATCAAGGAAGTTCGCACATGAACAATATCTTGAGTTAGAGTGCTAATGAAAAAATACTTGATATTGAAGTGGATTTTGCGATTATTTACAACCGGTACGCACATATTTTTGAAATTATGTGTCTATTTTTGTTCCAAAGTTAAAACGTTATGCCGTTTGTTGGTGTATCATGTGTGGAATGTTTCAAAGAACCTTAAATTCCGTATCCCGGATTTTCCAAATCGTTGGAAGAAGATAACAGATGTCTTGTAACCGCGATAAGACTGACCGGGTTTATAGTGTATACTACAACTGTAGTAAATACTAAATAGTTTTGTGAAAATCGTCCCGAAATATTTGTCATATTTGTACTCAGGGAGTTTAAGATTTGAGATTTAAGATACATTATTTAAGTTTTAAAAGCCGGGTATTGAATTAGATGCTACTCGATAAAACTACCTTTTGTAAGTATGTATAGAGTATAGATGTAACTATTAGAATAGCGCTTGGCTGATAGCGATTATTCGAGGCCTCTTCTAAGAAAAGGCCTCGTCGTTATTAGAACTTTAAGTTATTGAAGTATCGGCATCACTTTTGATATGAGAGAACTCACCATTTTTAGCATCCCAATCGAGATATATTTTGTTTTTTTCTGTTTGTTTTATTTTTCTTCTTTACTATTTCTGTTAACAAAGACATTTTCGCCAAATAAATTCGACTATTTTTTAATATCAATAATACTGCCTTTTTAATCATTATCTACGTGTCGTGTTTGTGTGTCCAGAAACGATATTATTCGTCTACTTATAATTTTGTTAGTTACGAAAGGTACAGAGGTTGTATGGTTAATAAGTTTCAATTGTGATATCTTATTGAAGTTATTAAACTAAAGGAGCGTTTAATTTAATCTCAAGTTTTCTAAATAAATATTTTGACAAAGTTCCCATCATTCGATAATTCTGCTCGAAAAAGTGGTCCTATTAACTCTGACAGCAGATTGACCATATTATTTTTTAAAATATGGTCAATCTGCTCATGTACAATTGCAGTAGTTGGTGTCCTACTGCAAAGTCACTAGAAAAACTAGACATTTGCCATAGAAAACACCTTAGATCTTTACTGAACATATATTGGCCTCATGGAACAATATCCAACGCAAACTTATACCTAAGATGTAACTCAGTAAAGTTATCAGATCGTGTCCCTAAAGCAAGGTGGAAGCTCCTAGGTCATATCTTGCGTAGTGCTGATGACTCCCCCGCTGCATTAGCGTTAAAGTTTGCTGTCACAACAAACTGTAAAGGGCGCGTCGGTGCGCATCGTAAGAATTTGTTCAAGATTATTGTGAATGATTTGACCCGTAGAGGTTTAAAACTTAACTCTTTGAATGATCTTAATAAGCTTAAGATATTAGCCGATGATAGAGTTGCTTGGAGAAACAAATTTTCACTCTAGCTGTCTTGATCTGTACTGATCACCATTTTAGGATGACTTGATTTCTTTTAGGGGTTTTGAATATTTCAATGGTGTAAACAGTTTCTTAATAATAATAATACTCAATCTGCTGTCAGAGTTAATTGAAAATCAGGAATTCAATGAAGACATGCCCCAAATTCCAAACACTTGACAACGCTCCCTTGACAGGTTGATAGTACATTCCCATATTATAAATAGTATAAAATAGTAACATACGGAATTGGGGACGATTGAAGACTAGTTTTCGAGAAACTAGGGTGTACAGACCTTATGATCATGGAATGTGGTGCCTAATACTGACTTAATTATCCACGAGAAAGAACTGATTATGCGATTATGTTGAATACTATTGGATACGTGAGGGCACTCCGAATAGAATTGCTGACCTTATGCGGGTTTTGACTCAGCGGGTAAATACTCACACCCTTTTTAACTGCGGCAGTGAAATCCCGGCCGAAGACCGGGATACAATAATCTTAAACAATAATCTCAGAATGTGTGCCTGTCTGTCTGTCTGTCTGTCTGTCTGTCTGTCTGTCTGTCTGTCTGTCTGTATGTGCGTGTGTAATTTCCGAGCGGCTTAATCAAGAAAACGGTAAAAGTTGGGGGGGGGGGGGGGGGGCTGGTTTTTTCGGTATATTGCCGACAAAACTACGAGGAGGCCAAATGGTAAAGGTTTTTAAATCAGTCGGTGGTAAGTGGTTTAATTGATGGTTTTGTACCACATAAAATGTGTTTTTTTTGTTACATAAAATGGCTCACATTTTCTCCCTCCTCGCTCTCTCTCCCATTACTGCATATTATGTAGCGTTGGTACATATATCATAATTACACTGTCATGAATACTATAAGCTTATTAGGGGAGGGAGCGCTCATAGTGGTCTGTTTGGACTGTAGAGAGAGTTCATACTTTCATACGACAATGTAATGCATGTTTTCAAATATAATAGGCGGGTGTGGTGCGGAGTTAATAAGGGTTACTTTCTAAAACGATGAGGTGTAATAGTCGTGGTACAGGGTGTACGGACTTAATTATCCACGAGAAAAGAACTGATTATGCGATTATGTTAAATACTATTGGATACGTGAGGGCACTCCGAATAGAATTGCTCACCTAATGCGGGTTTTGACTCAGCGGGTAAATACTCTTACCCTTTTTAACTGCGGCAGTGAAATCCCGGTCGAATGCCGGGTTACACTAATATGAGAATAAGTGCATAATCTTAGAACATAATATTATTACAACTTTATCAGATGCAATGAAACGCGATTATTCCTCGAAAACTTATATGTTAAAGCTTATAAAGTTTAGTAATATAAGTTTAATATTCTGGCCAATTTAACTCTGCTGAAATCAAATAACGGCATAACGCTTCCGGAGTTCCATTGGTTCGGTATATAAATGATCGTTTAATTTTACAAATAGTTAGTATGTAAATTATTAACTAAAATATGAGCAACAACATCTATTAAAATTGCTTTTGTTTTTAAACAAAAGCTTTTAAAAAAGCACGAGGTATACTCCGTATAACGGTAAAGCTACTTATAGGGTTACTTTTGTGCCAATGAACTGTAACATGTTCCAAAGTTCAGACTCCGTTATTGTTTACTCTGAGATGACAATAACCATGTCTACTCGCCGGCTATTAACCGGCTACTAACCGGCTACTGATTGAACTTGGTGGCAATCATGGGCTAAAATTTCCTTTCTAACTGTTGACTTAACTTTAGTTTGAAATTAAATTTTTATTGAATCAAACCACACGGGGACATTTCTTATGACACGATGATTAGATAGAAATTCAGTGGGTTTAAATAGCAATGGTAGATAAATCAATTTGATTTGGTAACTGGAAATGTTTAGTCTACATAGTACATCATATTTATAATACTATAGTTTTGCTCAATCGCAGCTTTTCCTGGCAATAATTTTATTAAAAGCTATTTCTGCATTTGGCGTGATCGAAATTGCAAGCTGGGCCGTAAATGAAATTAATTAACTGGTCTAGTCTGGAGATTTGTGAAAAATAAAAAATGTTAATAATTTGTATAACTTTACTAGGGAACTGTAACCCGCATATTAAATATTATATTCTACTTTACTTTATTGTCTTTATTTACCATATTAGTCTCATTAACCTAACTCACAAAAGATAAAATAAATTCAACTAGTTAGGTTAAGTTATTTTTGGGTGTTACGAAAAGGTTACAGAGATAACGTTTCACAATATGCGTTCCTTCACAATAAGTTAGATCTATCTTCAAGGTAGCTGGAAAATGATAAATTTAACGGTATAATTGTTTTAACCCGCTTATTAAATATTATATATTCTACTATTTGTATTTATAAAAATTTATATTTACTTTATTATCTTTATTTACCATATTAGTCTCATCAACCTAACTCACAATTTAACTAGTTATTATTTTATTTATTAAATATTATGATATTTTACTATATTCATCAAATTAACTCACGGATATAAAATTACTTTAATTTTAATAAAGTTATTTTCAGGTATTTTAAAACGTGACAGCAGAGTTAGCATCTCATAATATTCACTCCTTCACCACAATTTAGGATCATCTTCAAGAGCTAAACGAATTTTATTCCGTGAAATCTGAGAATTAAAGACATCCGTTAAGAAAGTCAAGTGAAAGATATACTTGAAGAATGCGGGTCCCAGGGGCTTGCTTGTGAACTCTAGTTTGCAGCGCGGTGTTTTAAAGTTACGGAATGGTGAATTTAAAAATTAAAGAAACTGTAATAATCTAGTAGAGGGCACAATGCATCACATTGACCTATACTTTAGGGCGACTTCATATTTCATTGTAATGTGTTATTCCCTTTTCCTTGCCAATACTCGAGCGGTAATAAGAACATTTATCTACCGGGTTTGTGTAAACATTCTACCGGAGATCAGATGAGGTGACATGCACACTTGGTAACGTCACGTGATCAGCGATGATAAACGTTTATTTATATTTTATGATACCCGTCCCTCCCCCCATCTGGTATCGGGAAATGGCCCAATTCAAGTGTTGAGTGTAAATAGGGTTGTACAATTATACCAACAAGGGTATTCACTATTCATTGAGCATTTAGAGTTATGTAAAACTGCAGTTATAATTGTGTTAACATATTTAGTAATTTGGATCGATATCAATATAGTGGTACTTACACTACATACTAGTTTTATGGATACACTGGGCACGACAACTCTTGATCCAATTTCACGAATACTGCCAGTTTCGTGTGACAAACGTCTGCCCCAAAGTTGTATAGTGTAGTTGTCAACCTTCTAAAATCGACCCCTGCGGCCTGCGTGTCCTGCATGCCCCCCCCCCCCCCCGCTGTAGTATCACCTTCATTGCTGGTTGTTACACTGCTGCAATTCTGTGCGTGGGCGGAAGTTATTGTCACAACACAGTTTAATACAGTATTCCCCCTCTACAACGCGGTTTTTTGGGCAAAATTTGTCATCCTATTTATTTGGAGGGCAATTTTTTAATTACTTTAATCCTAGTCAGTTAGAATGAAATGATATCCTGCTATTTCGTTCACATCATTCTATGATGCTATTTCAGCTTCGATATCATCTTATTCGTCGATTATTTAAAATGCACCATAGCTCCCACTTGCATTTTTTGGCGCACGTCATCAAACTGATTTAAGCACGAAAATACGCAATCCCCTTCATAACACTGTCCCACTGCAGTACAACGCAGTTAGTTTACGAAAAATCTATAATCCAAAAAACGCGTTATATTATATAGGGGAACAATGTAAAAGCACATTTTGCAAGGCCATCAGTTCAATGACTAGACATCGAGTATCACCTCATTACCTAGTTTAGTTTCTAAACTGCCCCCTCTTGAAACGTATTTTCTGCAAACTGGGGGTATTATTGACATCGTGCAAGGTGTCGGAATCTGATTGGCTCTCGCCATTATACCACGAGGAAAGTGAATTGTTACTGTAACGCGCTTTGCATATTTTAGGACGTACGCACGCGTGTTTGTATTAATGAGGATGTGGAAATTAAGGATGCACATGGGCTGGGCCGATGTTCTGTAACATAACATGATCATCATATTATGCAGGTGATTTATAAAAGATATGATGAATTTTCTTTGGGCCTTTTCTATGAGGTTAATAAATATAAAATTCAAGTCTTCAAACATGATGGTTAATGAAAATTTTAGATTCGTATTTAATCCAATCAATCAATTCCAAATTTATTTGATTCTGATACATCTGAAGAATATATAGAACATAACTCTCTCTAACCTCCCCTCACTAAACTTAATTATCATAATGAAATTAACAGATCTATATTACAAAAATGATACTCTATTGTTTAATATCTATATTCCTGTCTTGCATCAGACATGAAAACAGTGGCTGTATTCTAAGTACATTCTTCGACGAAGGCTGTAATTATTTGTACTAATAATTTGTGCTCAGATTTGTGGACAATACACTGTGTACTCAGTACTGCACGTGCAAAAATTCTGTGGGAATGTACAGATACAGGTATTTCAATTGGTTCGAACTGAGGAGTGCAGAGATATTTATAATAATTTTTTTCTTTTTCACATGACTTAGCTGGGTCGAGTTTGAAAATGTAAGCGATTCCTATTAACTGAAAAATTAAAGCAAATACTTGTTTTAAGAGTTTTTATAAAAATTCATACTCTCTAATTATAACAAATTATAAATCATTATCAAACTCACAAACCTTGCGGAAATTTCCATATGCAAACAAGGTATGTTTACTCAAAATTAAGCTATGAGTAAATTTCAATTTAACAATTACTCGTTTAATGTAATTCAATCAAATGAATGAATAGAGAAGTCAAAATATGAATCCAATCAAAATTTGCTAAAATTTAGATAAAGAAAAAAATGTAATACAACTATTCAAGTCCGATAATGTCCAATAATAATGTAATCTCTCTTAGATTTTTAGAGAATATTATGCATTTCGTACCTTTTTTGGGGTCTAGAATATAGTAATATTTAAAATAATTGTTAAACATTTTAATTGCATCGAAATAACCATTTTGTTGACAATATAAACACAATTTCATTTTTTGGTATTATCGACAAAAAGTTTTTCTAAAATCCTAGACCCTAGTATTGTCATTTCCTACGGATGAACCTAACCATAGAAGTAAGAATAATGAAAATAGCCGCCTCGTAAATTTGTTCTGACGTTGTGAGCAACTTCAAAGATCGTCATATTCTTCATGCACCACCATGCTATACCTGTTTTGGCTCTCTCAACTCGGCTTACAAGATCCGGATAGAACTGAAATACTGTTCCGACTTGACGAGGTTGAATTGTAGCCTTTCATTTCCTGGTGATCTTTATTTTATAAGGTCTCACTCGAATCACATCATCTCAAACATAAATCCCTTGATTGGTAGACAATCTAACTCTCGTCTTTCTGTTTCTGTAGGAAGAAGGACAAACATCCGATCAAAACAGCTATGAGGATAGAACCAGTTGAGGCGAGGCCGAGGAGGAAAGCCCATCCCATGTCACAGTCACCGGTGTCGAACTGGGACAGGGTTCCACAGTATCCTTCTCCCACACACTTGAAGTCGGTCTGATCCCAGCTAAGTATCCAGAGAAGAATGGCAACTCCATTTATAATCACTGTAACAAAGAATCAGGGTTAATGTACATGTTATATTTATATATCTATCACAGGAGAATGGCATTGCGTTTGCTTCATGATTGCTTAAATTGCTTGCAGCTGAACTTTTGGAGCCTGAGGCTAAGAAAATGTAAAATGTGATTATGAAATTGCTCTTCTGAAAATTGATTCACATTATGAAATGAAATCTTAATTAGAGTCAGTGTGGCAATGAGATAACTTACAACAGAAGAGCTGGACAACGGAGATGAGCAGATAGGTGCTGACGTCACACAGATAACCGTAACAAAGAGAGATAGCGCTGAACACCCAAGAGATAAGGAGTATCACACATCCTGCAGCAAACATCACCGCCGACACCTGTAATCACCCATCCTCAGACTTACTAGTTACTATCAGCCCAAACTACAAAAGGAATTTCACATTTTAACTGCTTCAAGGACAAAATTGCAAAACTAGAATACATGAATTTTGGCAGATTTCATCAGGACGAAGGGAGAATTTTCAAACTAAAATAAGAAGTAAACTGTGAAGGTTTTGTATAGGTTACCTTCCCGAATATGGTTGGGATGTCATCAAAGTTGGTGTAAAGAGGACACCTCTGCATGTGGGCATCGTCGGAGAAGACGAAGGAGTCGTTGAGGGGGTGATAAGTATAAGGGACACAGTAGCTCATCATTCCACAGGCTGCTGACGCATCTATCTTCAACTCCCCTGTTCCTTCGAAATTCTTGTCCTGGGTGGTTAGGTTCGTAAGTTTATAACTCATAATATGAGAAACTATATTTTAAGTGAATTAGATGTTTTGTGACGGTCGGAATTCTTTAATTGTTCAAATTTGGACTCTTCAAATGTAAGAATTGAGGTAATTTAGGGAGTTATCAATCTTCAAGTTAAACTTACCGTTGCAGTAACATTTTTGGCACTATTAGGAGCAACAAGCCAGAATGGAGTAAAGAAGGCGATGATACTGCCGACCACTATGAAAAAACTAAGGGTGCACCATATCCCAGCGGTAGCCTTGTACATATACATCTTCAAGCAATCTCTCTATACTGAGGTAATAAAGGTTTCAGATCTATAAAACTTTAACGTAATTTGTTTTTTTATTTAACAATTGCTTTATCAAACTTTGTTTGTCAATGTCTGGCATTCTTTTATCCGCAGATAATGAAGCAAACTGAAATACAACCAAACAATTAACTTCGAACGAAAATACCAAAATATGGTCAAAAACTAAATTGTTAAAATTACCATGTGTACCCAAATTAAATATAATTGTAAGAAATTAGCAGCTTGCTGGCTGTTTGAATCAAACTTTGGCTGTTTGAATCAAACTTTGATTGAATTGAAGGGAAATTATAAAAAAGCTTAATAGTTAAGGCAGGAATAGGATAAGCTGTGAATAAATTCGTAACAACTCTAGAAAAGAGTCCCTGGAACTACATATTATGGACGACACATTCCTGAAATTGATTGCCCTACCTATATAACAAAACTGTGAAACGTATGTGCATTTTGGTTTGCAAATGTAATTCACAGAAAAGCAGTTCACGACTTTCCTACCAACGAATAATAGTTATTTAAAAACTCGGTAATTGGTACAGGTAGTACATCGTTCATTTACCAATTTAACCATACACGTCGAGCTAAAGAAGCCGCTGTAATGCAATGGAAGAATGGCAGATACTCAGCGATTCCGGTCGAAAAGACAACAACAGGAAGACGAAAAATACAACAAATTTAGTTATCGACGGCTGATATTAGCTGATTAGGTGACATCATAACATGGCTAACTGAACGCATATAGCAGAAGTGATAACATCCCAGAGAAAAGAAGAGAAATGACATCCTGATTAGAAATAATTATCGAAATTTGGCAAAAGTGCGGTCGTGCAATTATGCTTGCTGTCCGTAAAGCAAGTATTGGGTTTCTATTGTTACGTTACCCGCTTAGATCATGTGATGATGTAAAAATAGATCACTCTGATCTATCAACTACTAAGTGTTAGTGGGAATTATTTTCTGTACCTGGTCTGGGTCATTACTAATTTAGTAACTAAACTGTGTTAATTAGAGAAGTTAGTGTTACTCGGGAGGATTGAAGAGTCCGTTAAAAAACAAGATAAACTGATGACTTCATTGCTGTTGAAAGGAATTCTCAAGTACACAAGGCATATCTTAAGCTGGTGACCTGGTGTGTACAGAGAGTAGGTCACCTAATCACCTTGCACGTATTATACTAAGCGGAAATATCAAATAAAATAGGCTAATGAATTTCGCAAAATAAGCTATTTTTGCGAAAATAATATTAATTGTATTATAGCTTTGTAAAACTTAAACACGCCCACGAACTAAATTGTGTTTCACAGTGCAGTCAAAATTGAAACACGTTTCTACTCAATTTAAACTTTAAAGCGAACATAGCTCTTGTCAAACTTCGGCTTCTCAACAAATTTGAGAAATTGGCCCCGCAAATTCAGCAAAAATTACGTAATAAAGCAATACTAGAGTAGTAGCACTAGAACTAACAGTTACATGCAATTGTGGCCACCTCGGTAAATCTGATTACACCACTCGCGAACTGTCGTGGACTGAATTACGAAATATGCAGCTAGAAACCCTAGATTAATTGTGGTACTGTAGCTCAAGCTGTGAACCAGGAAAGTCTAGCTAATTTTCCAGCGTACAACTTTACTTGTAGTCTAGCTGCGTGCGTGTAATAATAATATACTTATACTTATAGTAATGTACTAGGTTAAACTTTTCCGCGGAGTTTCGAGTGTTTCGTTAAACCATGTTAAACTTTTATGCTTCGACAAATGGAGAAATATATTGCTGAAAATTCTAGCTGACAGAAAGGAACGCCGTTACAAAAGAACTGTTAAATTTAAATCGAGTAACGATGGTGATTGGTGACTAAATCCCATGATCAGTCCAATTTGCTATAAATACATGGTCGAAACTGGTCGCTAATTGGTAGACCTATGTTGATCTTATCCTAAAATGTGTTAGATCAATTAGTCAGAACGATTTCGCCATATCTTGTAAAAATAGGAAGCGTCGAGTGGTTTGGATTGCATCCATTTCCAATGAATTAAACTTAAATCATGGTCATATCATATCATATCACATCATTTCCAACGGCCGAACATGAGTATCAGAGAATTACTTAACTTAAATGATCCACCCTATAAAGAATAAATGGAGGTATCCCTATATCTTAATCTTGTGACATCAAACTGACTGGCTTACCTAATAGAGGAATTTTTTCTCCCTTTGAATCAATCAAGCTAGATGATTTGTTGTAAACTTACTTAATATGTTAAAGAACCACTTACTTAGAGTTTTGAAAAGATTTAACAACGGTCAGATTCCTGGTCAGTGCTCAGTACTCGCCTAGAAATTGAGTAGACATTGATGATTGGCAGCCTATACGTGATTATTTAAAGTTAGTTAGTCTGCTGTTCGTTATCGCCCGGTCCTATTCCTCATACCGACGACAGATATATACTCACTGGAACAGTGTCCTGTGCCAACCCAGTGTCGTCAGGTATTTAGAGTCCAAAATGGAAGTTATTAATGTATCTATCAACACGTAAGGACTATTACTATTAGGAGATGGAACAACTACAAGCTCTCACTTATCATGACATCACTTTCACTTTCGTTATCCAACTTTCATTTTCGGTATCCAACTTTTAACATCACACTCTTGGTAAAATAAATGCACGCATTACGCCAGTCTATCGAGCTTACCAAGTTTAGACAGTGAGATTGTAATAATAAAAGAGTAAAAATGACTGTTTGGGTTCTTCTTCAAAAATGTAGTTACAGTCGTGACAGATTAACATAAAAACTTTGACTGTTCGATCGGTGAAAAAAATGTGTACCTTTTTTAGAAAGATAAAGACTATTATTATGATTTAATACTTCAGAGGCGCTGAAATTTAATGAATGTTTTATATGAATATAGCAGTAGTATAGTATAAAGCAAGTCAAGAGCCTCTAAAAATTAAACAATAGCATTGCTAGGACTATTGATTATACAGCCTGTCAAATATCCATGAAGAAGCTTTGAACTAGTATACTAGTTTATAGCTACTGCTAGTATACTAGTTTATAGCTACTGCTAGGATACTAGTTCACATCTTATAGGCACCAGTATGGCTAGCTAAGTGGATATAATGCAGCGTACTCATGTGAAATACAATTACATCGAAATATTCTTCTATCTGTAAATTCGCCGAGAAGAAAACTTGTTTTTGAGACTACAAGATGGAGCGAATAAAAATAAAAATGTTGTAGCTAGAGAGGAAAAGAAATTTTGATAACTAAACGGTCAAGCATACAAATGCATATTTATTCAAGTCGATCAAACTTATCTCATATACTTTTAAGAATTGTGTGCCTCATCTAGCATGACTAGCAATATAGTAATAATCTAGCAATATAGTTATAATAAGAACTTGATTTCTATTTCTAAGTCCTATGTTAACCGAATTTCATTTTAATATCGATTCTAAGAGTCTGAGGCAGTTTGTGATATTGATACTTATGTCATGTCATGCAGTGAGTAGAATCACAAAAGCAAAACTAAATTATATATAGGCTCTGCTTATTGGATCCATGTTATATCTTTCAGTGAAATTGCTGACCAATGTCTCAGTAATTACTACAGAAGTCAATTTTTAACTTTTTAAACAAGAGTTTTTTATTTTAATTACTCGATTATTACTCAATGATACGCTATAACAATTTTATGTTATTGCATACTTGAAGGGGATGGTTAATGATTTGTTAAATTATTAGCTATTTTAGATTTTAATAATAACATAACTTCAAGTAACATTTTAGTGTGCTGGAATTGGTTGGTTCAACCGGCAGTTCTTATTTATACATTGAAATTGATTTCCATATTACATTATATAGGATGGCATCGATCAAACACATGTTGTCACTCCTTGTATTCGAGGCAGTGGCAATCCTGCCAATTATATTGATAATCTGACTGTTTGGGTTCTTTTTGAAAAATGTATGGTCTTGTTTAACTGAAACTCCCTTTTAGCGGCCTCGATATTTCCTTTACCTAATACCTCATCGTTTATTCTCACCCTATCTTACTTTCGCTTTCTCTACCTCATTCTCACCTTCTCAATCTTGTAGGTTTATAACCCACCGACTCGCCGAGTTCTCCTCGTCGACGGTCAATATTTCAAATAAATATTGTACAAGTCGATAAAAATAAATATTGCACAACTCGATCTCTACGGGTTAGGACTGGAGAACATAGGGTCAAATATTATAAACTTTTAAATGGTGATAAGGTAGATGAAACAAGTGATGAATATAGTTTGGGTTTACATTTGTTGGATCATGGTTTTAGACAAAGGGAAGATTTTAACAAAATTTTTAATGTGTCAATTATTGATAATTCTAGTCCTAAAACTTTGGATGTCCGTGAACATAAATATATTCAACTACTCAAGACTTTAAAACCTTTGGGAATTAACACTATACATCCTTTTGGCCTTCCATTACTCCTAACATCTTAATTTTAACTTTATAACCGTTTTAAGAGTGTTCAGATTTTTAAAGGAATTTTGGGTTTTACTAACTTTTTACAATTTCTAGGGCTTATGTCACTGAAGATGACGCCTTGCAACATGTTTGACGATAGCCTGTAGATTGATAGTTTGATCTCAGTATTTACAACAATTCATCTAGTTTGATTGATTCAAAGGGAAACAAATGCAAATTCCTCTGTTGTACAAGTATCACCTGTTAAGGGGACGGACATGCACCAAAACCGTCTATAGTTGGACCCGCGATTTGACTTCATATTATGAAAATATAGATGCATGTCCCCATAATCTCTTACTGTTTTCACTTTATCTTTCCTACTCTTACTTTATATATCCTACTTTCATTTCTCTATCTTACTTCCACTTTCTCCATGATACTTTCTCTACATGCCCCCATTTTCGAACATTAGTCTCATTTTCGATGTATATACTTCAGCTAGGACTACAAAGATTGCGAGTTGGATTAAACTAGTTTAATTTTAACCAGATAGCAAATTGCAAATATCAACCGATGAAAAGAATGAATACACAACTGAATCACAAATAGCAAATAATATGAGTCTATGACATATAAAAAACATTCAGAGAACCGACTGAAGGGATTTACGATGAAAATGCACATCACAAACAGAAAAGACTCTGTATTACAGAGTATTAAAGCAATATTACCGATAGGCTCATTCTTTTCATACTCATAGCAAGGGAAGCCCAGAAGGTTCATCAAGATTAGATGGGAGAAATGGCTATTTCTTTGAACTCCACAACTGACAACACTGACAAAACGTATCACAGAAAGTTAATGAAATTATACTAAACTCGATGAAAGGAACTGACAAATCTTTAACCCTGTCGGATGGCTAAAAGATAGGAAATGTAAAAGCCATCCTTAAAAAGAAACTAAACGACAGTTTGCTATACCCGTGGCCTAATTTACTTTTCATCATGAATAAAAATGCTAAAATACGCAGTAATGAGCTAGCCTTGTGACGCTTCTAAAATATAATGACTTTAATGGCACTCCCTCCTGGATTTATAGTAAATCAAAATGTACGGATCCCTGTCTTTAGCAGTAGAGATAGAGCAAAGTTTAGCTTACACCAAGACTCGATGAGTGAAGTATAATCACTGGGAGTCGAGAGCAAGTACTGGCGCCGAATTTTGAGCAGTTTTCACAAATACACAGTCATTACGCCAGTCTACCGAGTTTACCAACTTTACCAAGTTTAGACAAGGAGGTTGTAATTAAGCCAGTAATAAAGTCGAGGAGAGAAACTGCACTGAAGTTAATTAGACGTTTCAGTCGATCAGCAAATCAGCAACTGGTCAAATACACGTATCGAGTGCAGGAAAAGTTTCCACTAATTGATGATGTTTAGTATGTACAACTATCTCACTCGCTAACTGCAACCCTACCTTGACAGATTAAGCTGTCGTTTAATTCAACTATTATGATCTTTCCTCGATGATTGGTTCGGAACGTTTTTTTGGAATATCTTTTACAAACCCCATGATATCAAAATGAAACGAGTCGCCGAGTCGGAGACTGGCTTTATAATTATGTTTTGCTCGTCCATTGGCATTAGTAATAGTTTAGGTCATGCAACGAAAAATAAAATTTAAAAATACAATTTAAAAGGTGGTACTGGTAGGTCAGCAAACCACACAGCGGAAGATGGTGGTGTGAAGTAGAACCAGAGATAAAAATATCAGCTGTCTTCAAATGGCAGACAGAAACATTCAGATCACGTGCATCACCATGGCAACGCACGCGCCACAGATCAACCAATGATTGCACGAGACCCACAACACGTGACAGTACAGCACAGCTTTAAAATAACACCTCCTCGTACGCAGCAGAACAGAAACAAAAGATTTAGATACGGACAGCAGTTGAGAGCTGGCTATTATTGACTGGACTTGCTGCTAAATTGCTCTGTAATTGGCTTGGAACGACCACGCGACCAAAATGGGGTATTCTGATTGGTGTGCGATAAGCGGTCACCTGACCTGTCACATCCTAGCATAGTTAATTAGCTTGGTGCTCCGTAATGCCGGTATTAAAACGACACCCCGTCACTATGGCAACAAATAGCAGACGTAGCTTTGGCAACGCACTTCTGTCATTGCTGCAAGCAGCTGATGAAATCCACCGCGCCAAAAGTCATGGGATGTTTGAGGTGCTAATTGGTTATCATGTGCTAATGCTCCCCCAATTAGCAATAGACAGACCTACCACATTCAACACTACACACTTCGGATAAATGTTCACTCACGGTTATAATTTACAAAGTTCGTCATGACACGCGTATACAAATTTAAAACAAAGTGGTAAGTTGTAATAATGAAAAATGGGATATCATCACAATTTAACTTCGGTATCAAGATATATCCACTGTGAAAAAGGCTTATCTCGTATGTAAATGGTGCTTCAATCTTACTACAACTTCATAAGATTACCAAGTTGTAAAATCTGCTTCTTTGGATACGTGAACAGTATTCTACAAAGAAGTCTTTTGGACAGTTTGTCAAAAATTGTTGCGTTATTGATGTATGGTGGTTCTCAATAAAACCATTTCACAAACAATTGCACTGTCTATTTTAAGCTGACATCAAAACGTTGGGTTAAGTAACCCAGAACCTAGATCATGTGTTTTCGTTCTTCAACCAATATTCAAGAACCTTCATTTGTAATTAATATAACCTCAACAACGTGTCCGTTCATAATCAACAAATATTAAGTATACAATATATGTGTAATAATATCGAAAAACTAAATTTAAACAAACACCAGCTGCATAATATCATAAAACAATTAACGTATTTTTTGGAAAGTATGCGCCCGTTTTAAAACCTATATTAGATTAAGCTAGCCAATTATAATATGTGTGTGCATCCTTGGTTACCATCAAATCGGCATTCGTAATCGTTAAAAACGGTTATTTTTATCAGCGATTCCAGAAAACTTCGATGTCCGATATTCTGTCAAATTAGATTATAATGGTGATACCAAATTCAGGGCGTGAAATAAGATCTTCAAACATGGGCTCAGTCAGTAAAGTCGATTTCAGATAAAAAATTCCAAGATAAATATTAGAATTTAGAGAAACAGAGAAAATGTTGGCAGTTATCACAAAGTATGACGATGAAAAATCAACGCGTCGGTTTTTGCTATCAAAATAATCTCCTATCTGACTGGCCTGATTAACAGATTTCGCCTAAATTTATAAACAATTACGTCATTGGCAAATTCTCATTATTTGCTCACTTGGTATAATTGGACAAAATGTTACGAGATGTCTTTGACCACAACTAATTACTTACCGGGCAACTAAACACGGCATTTCTATATTGAATTTTTCATTTCAAATTCGAAAATGAAGTCATAAAACAGGTACGGTGTGTGACTTCAAATTTAATAGATGAAATTTATAGCATCATTTAAATAACGCTGTAATAAATTTCATACCATAAATGTTAAACGCTTATCCCGTGTTATTAATCAGATCAATACAAATTAAACAAATCACCCATTGTACTATAATACACTAATAAAGATGAATGTTTTCGATAAAACATTAAATTCACTCCTCAGTCTTTGAAGTTCTTATCTTTAATACTGTAGCTGGTCTTGTCTCATGACGGCAATTCTCTAGGATTTGGTTGTTTTGAATTGGGAACACTGAAAATACAAAATTTGTGTTAATCAGCATTTAAAGCAATTTTTAAAATTAATTTGAATCGGCAACCCAAGTTCACAATACTCGACAGTCAACATAACATCAATCAATAAAAGTAAAAGTGTTCCAATAACAGAATCAGCAATCAGGCAGTTACCTTTCATTGTGGCTTTAACGAGCACTTGAGAAACTGATCAAGTCCGCAGTAGGCGCCTGCTCCTAGTCCCTCCTCCAACATCCGTCCCACTGTGTTCTTAGTTTGGGATATGGCCATCTCCAGAGGGGGCTGTCTCGGTAAACCGTGTGATTCTGAGGAATTGTATTTGTCAGAATTACAGAAAACAACAAAGCTCAAACTATACACAATACGGTGTGTTATCACGTGGATCATATTTAATTTCATGTCACAAACTGGAACAGTGACCCTAGACAGTGACGTAGATATGACGTCTCCTTTTGTTATGAGTGCGAATGCAACACAATAAAACAAAGTAAAATGCGTCATGATCATGGTTGCATCCACTAAATCCTCTATGCAGAGGGTACGGGTGGGGTTTACGTCATCCCATCTAATTCGAAGAGGCCACATTTTCCACCGAGGGTAGCCCTCCTCTTCTATTCGGAGATATCTCGTCTCAGTGTTCGGAGAAAAGCATGATGGGCGACACTTTTCCGTCTGGCGTCAATCGGCATGCGAGTACACAGCAGGGTGCGGCATGCATGATGTATATTTTCACATCTGTTGTACTATGCGTGCAAACGATCGCATGTGGCACGCTGTGACAGAATAACCGATTATTTGTACACAGATTTCAAAGTAAACCATTCTGATTTCCGAGAAATGGGCGCGGCTGGCGCCTCGTTATATGCTACTGTTCACGAATGACTAAAACACCGCACCTCACATCATTTGTAAAGTGATAGCTAGTAACTGTGAACTAAATAAATGGTAACACCACATATTGTACAAAATAAAGTTTTTGTCACATTGGGACACAGTCGTTTAATCATGGTTCTTTACCTTGACATTTACCGAAATTCCTTTTTGAGCTATGAGACAGCCATAACTCCCACTGCGTAAAACTACTAATTATAAAACAAGAATTGCGCCCGTTGTTTCGTTTTGGCGGACGCTAGATTTCCATTTCACATTTACTATAAATTTAAGTATAAGCTCCAATCAGCTCACTTCAATTTTCATGATAATAATATTGATAAATTATGCATCAAATACGGGAAACACTTGAAATTCAGTTCAATTGCCGGAGAACTTAACTTGTATCTGTAAATCAAGAAATTATCAGCAAAGGTAAACTATACTCGTGTACACATCAATACACTACGCGTGCCATGTACAAATTGGGCGTATTACCTAATAGTAATATTATACATTATATACATGCATCATATACATTATAACACAGTCGCGCCGCGCATTCATAGATCACAGGCTATCTATACATCACATCTCCGCAACCAATCCTCGATCGCGCGCGCCCAACTTTTTCGTTGCATGGTAACGAACGGAAGGAAGGACACACGACATATATATTTAAACCCACCTATCTCGTTCTCCAAAATCCACGTTTTTCTGCAAAAACCTCCATTCGTAACCTTTCACTATTGCCTTTTTTCAAAAGAGTGAAAAGGAAAAAATACTATCTTATAGCGCGCACTGGGGTGTGGACCGCCATGATAGTAAACCGCCATGTAAAGTAAACTGTATCCATACCCGGAACGAGAAGAGTTTCTAGCTTCCTGGACCAGTTTGTTATTGAACAAAACTAATCCATAATGCGCGTGAGAGAAACTAATGTGCAAACGATACGCGCAACTATTTCTACATAACAATTTCTCAAAAACTAGCAATACAACATTTTAAAATTTCTATGAAGACCAAGGTTTAGGGCACGTCGACATCACATGACCCGTGACACTTTGTAAGGCGGCACATGCAAAGTATTTCGAAACTTAGTAATAAATGGATCACCTAGAATAGCGCTGTTGAGAGCCCCGCATAGCTGTTCCCTCTGGTCCGCATGTAAGAGGTATCCAATCGGCGACTGCTTGGGGTCTCTGTATGCGAGCAAACTGAATGCTTCTTGCAACTGGGTGAAAGTATAGCTTAGGTTTAAAGTGTAACAGTGGTTACAAGATATAAGGTCGCAACCTGAATTGAATTAAAAAGCCATGTTCATTCCAGAAATTTGTAAAAATATTAACCTGTCGTTTGAGATCTTCATCTTGTGTGTTTTGAGCGGCTAACTCTCGCCCAAACAGGAGGAGTTGTTCTAATGCTTGCCGGCTGGGCTGTCTTTCTCCTTCATTTATCTCTACTGATAAAACAGATATTGTCACTTAAAAGCTTAAAGTAACCACAATGCTCAAATATTGGAAAGGAAAGAATTAAACGCAACATCTCCAATCCAATAGCAAAAACAAACCATGAAACCAACATTCAACAATCAGTTACCTGGTTTCTGATCTACTTCCATCTTCTCATCAGCTTCCTCACTACCATTCATCAAACTAGCAATGCTGTAGGGGTGTGACTGCTTCTCGCTACTGTTCAAATTGTTTATCATCTCAATAAAGTTCCGTATCTGTAGCTTGAACAGCAGTGCGGGCTTGTTGCCAAGCAACGACGGATACAGCTCCTGAACGAGCGTTATAGCGTCTCCAATCAGCCCCTTCATTATGAGTTTCTGTACCCTCTGTCGGTTCTGTATCGAGGGAATATCCTCGAAAAAGTAGAGGTTTGTAGCTTTAGCAAAGTTCTCGGCAGCCCCACAATACCCGTGATGCACCATGTATCCGAACACCATTTTCTTGAGGACCGTGTCAAGGTCGTTGTTGTCGCTATGTGGCACGGGCGAACTGTGAGATTGTATTTCTCTTCTCAGTTTCGTTCTGCATTCTACCATGTAGCCTTCAATGTCAAATACAAATGGGCGGTCACCTGATAAAATAACCAGTTAATATGCCTGCCAATATAAAGGGTCGATGATATCTTTAGTCATATTTTCATTCAAAAAACATATAAATTTTGATGCTTGCCCATTGCCAAAGGTGCAGATGTTAATTGTAGTGATTTACTCACCAAAATTAGCGTCAGCAACTTCACCAGGAGTTTGTAGGCCGACTGTGGGGTATAACCCTAGCGGGACATCAAAGAATGCTACTCCAAGGTTTATACCGTTCTTGGTATAAAACACCGTCTTGTTTATCAGATTTACACAACATCCTGAGAAATTTACTTTCAATAATTTCAGAAAACAAATTATCTGATTTAGAAAGAAGAACCTAAAATCTGAGCTTTACCGACAAAGCGACAACTTGTATTATAATTGAATACAGATAAAATCCTTTCTAATTCGATCAAAAATATAGGCAGATATATATATATGTCTAATCTCTGTTAATAGTTACTATAATCGAACAGCAAACCTATGATATCGCCGGTGGTAAAGGTTGGACCGTATTTCTTTCCATTCCCACTAGAACTAAAAGAGTTACCATCGTCACCATGGTAACCGTAACTATCCTTCTCCCAGCCTGGTAATCTGTTCATGTTTACCGACTTGTCTGCTAGACCAATACCCATAAACCTGGTAACATTTTATATTTTATATCTACAGGAAGTCATTAGGTAGTTATCCAAATATTTAAAATAGAGAATTAGAATCGGTAGCAAAATAGCCCTTTTATATAATACCTTCGATATGTTTATGGCACTCGATGTTTTGAAATTTACATGGAGTCCTTATATGGAGTCCTTATATTAATATATAACATGGAGTCCTTATATTAATAGAACTCTTTAAATAATTTAAATAAAAATTTTGTATATAAGTCTCACCCGTCGCGCCCCTTGCTGATGATCTTCACTTCAAAGTAGTAAATACCACAAGCAGCAGGTATAGGATGAGTTGCCCGAACACTGGCAGCGTCTTTGTGCGTTTTACCTTGACCTTAAAAGTACAACACTGAACTTAAATCAAAATAACCGAACGAGGGCTAATAGATTAAGAGGTGCAATAAAATCGAAATACAGATCCATGAATTCTCTTTTTATTACGAGAAATCATCTCATTTAAAATCGCTCACCATTATAATGCACTCTTAGATTACATCTGGATAGCTTGATGAACTGCCATCTGTCTTTGCTGGACCATGATCGGGGGAGTTGAGACTCGGGGACGTGAGGATATAGCTTTGCTATCCTGTCATCTGACATCTCCTGATCACAAATTTATTGGTTACTTATTACCTATTCAATATTCAATATTCATAATTTACTAATTCTATATAACTTTCCTGGAACCTCAATAAATGAAATACACAAAATTATATATTAGTATATTATATGATCATTAAGTTGTACTCATTACTACATATAATTTGATTTAGACCACTGACCCAACCAAACGAATTACATTATTATATAATAATAATTCATGATTTTTGTCCTGAGTGGAAACGACATATTCTGCTATGTTTATGAATGATCTCATTGAGTAATAATTCCAGAAAAACACCATATCAACACAAGATCCAAGATATAAACATCAACTCTTTATAATCCAGATGTCATACTACATACATTGAAGTGACTGAAAATAAAATGTGAAAGAAAACTGTACATAAATGAGCAACCTTATATTATCTTATTATATAGAACCTTTATATTACAGTTAACTCGAAATAAGAATATTCAATAAAAAGTATTTTTAAAGGTTACAAGATTAAATAAAATCAAATAAAAAGACTATTTTCAAAACACAAACAATCACTAAATATCAAAAAACAAACTTTGAACATGACAAAAGGAATAAAACTGAATTATCGCCATCAATTATTAGTCAGTTAACAAAGATCGCAGCACACAGAAATCAATCCCATTTCTAACCGAACATAACTAAAACAATGTGTCAAAACAGTGCCCCTACTGAATCGTCCAAATTGGGTTCAGTTGTCCGGTAGCCTCGGGAACATCTTCATGACACGATGAGGAATCTCCGCTTCTGGATCCCATTTCATAACGCATTCCAGAGCAGATTTCGGAATGGAATTGAGTCCATAAACGGCACCTGCTATTTGGCCGGTTACTGATCCAACTGTGTCTGCGTCACCGCATCTGAAGAAGTAGCAGACTTCTAGTTATTAACAACAATCATGAGTTTACTAGCTAACATTAATGTTCTGGCAAAAATTTAAGTTTATACAATTCAACTGGTTTGTCACTTAACCTTTTATGCCAGCTGCTACTGTAATAATAGTGCTTTAATGCAAATTTATTTCCATAAGAAGAAAAAGTAAATTAATGCCACACAGTCACCACACAGCCACATGAGCCAGAAAAAAAGTAAAGTACACTCAAGATAATAGACCAACCTATTGATACAGCGGAGAACAGCTGACTCAAACGAATCTGAGTTGTACACACAGTGTAGAGCCATGGAGATATTATCACACGCATAACCCCCGACATAGCCAGGATTCACTGCTGATCTGGTGGGCGAGTATTTGTAGTTCTCATCCTTCCAGTTCCAATACTGATCTTCTGGTACTTTGTTAAACTTATCTTCTGTCCAACCCTAGAAGTAGAGGATATAATTAAGTGTGATTTAAAACGGGCATCTACAGCACACGGCCGGGGGCCAATGTGGGTATTTGATATTCTGTATCTTTAAGCTGATCGTTTTCTAATTTTTATAAGATTAGTGTGAAATAAGCGTTTTTTTAGTTTCTGTGTCTACGTTTTTAATGTTTCCATTAGATGTAAAAGGTTTAAAGTGGAGATTATTCTTCAAAGATGCATTAAAGTTATCTGGTTTAAAGAATTGAAAGTGAGCTCACCTCATGTTGTTTGCTATTAGCAATACATTTAACTGCATCTGTTATCAAATACTGCATAACTGGTTCCATATCAAGCGTGTCAAGAAACTCCTTGCCACTCTGTTTATCAAATTTAATAGCCGCAACAATAATAAAACTCAAAAGAGCAGCACACTCTGCAGACTGAACACCACTGTGAGTTGTAAAACTCTGCTTCATTGCCTCTGATACCAAATATTCAGTGTCACTGTCACGATGAAATATAGGCAGTGGACACAGTCTCATTATCGAGCCATTACCACTCATGTCTTCGTCTCCATATGGATAAAGCTGCTTCGGATTGTCTATAAACGTCTTTAGTGAATATGAAATCTGACCACCCAGTCCCACTGATCTACCTGTCCGTGTTGGATTCCCTCTATTCCCTGTATCATGTCTAAATGCGTTGTTGTAGCCCAAATACCACCACATGACAAAGCGCTTCCTCAGGTCAAGACAATCAACATGGCCATGAGTTAGTAAGTTGTCAGCAAGACAAAGTCCCATGCTTGCATCGTCTGTATACTGTCCAGCTTTTAGTCCAAATCTGTTCAACACTCCGGGTGCTTTAAAGTTGGTTTCGTCGAATGCTCGAATGATTGTTTTTTCGTATTGAACTGGAACAAATTCCAGGCAATGCCCCCAGGAGTCCCCTATCAACATCCCGTATAAACTACCGAGACATGCCTCTAAATCATTTATTTGTTCATAAATGGAGCCCTTGAAATTAAGAATTGTTTCATTGCCTCCCCAGTAACTGCTATCACCAGGAGGAAATATTGAGTAATCTATACAAGTAGGGCTGGGAGCATATGAAGCTTTAGAAATTTCTCCTGCCCTCTCAATCTCATCTTTCAATTCACCAGCTTTCAGTGATGGAGTATTTTCCTTGACAAGCGGTTTAAACTTCTTCCCTTTGTCAATACTTTTTATTTTTAATTTGATTCCATCTGATATATCTCTGTTGCAATCAGCAAACGGATCATTTGCGTCCGCGTCCGCTGGTGATTTTGATGATGTTTGGCCCATTCTCTGAACTATGATTATAAGGGCTTTTAATTTACAATAGACATTTTTCGCTCTTCTTAAAATTACATTATACGACATGATCCAGAAAGTTCTCCTAAAATATTCTGTATATGACGTCAGGATTCAAGAGTCCAAGACATGTACTAATTACTTTATTTTATTACACCATTAAATTATTACCTGGTGTAAATCATTTGAAACAAGTTTGAGGGAATTTTAACTAGATTAGTCCTATAAGATATCAAGTAAAGGAAACATCTATATAATATACATATAAATCATTGATATAAAAATTTTTTTATCATGGTAATGCAATCACACAAGATCAAGCTCAGCGTACATATAATGTACTTCCTTAATTGAAAAAATGAAGAAACCACAATTTCTTTGTGGTTTTGAGGGATCACAGCCTTTGAAACATAATTGCGGTTCTTTGTCATATCACAAACGTTATTTAATAAATTACTAAAACCTCTGTACCACATTATAAATCAAATTATTAAATAGATTGGTAAACATTTTTGAAGACAGATTAGATTTATTTTACAAACACAAACTTAGTAGATATCCTAATGTTTTAGATGATTCATTCTCCTTTGAAATTAGGTTTACGTTTCTCTCTGAAAGCCATCAAAGCTTCAATCCTATCTGTAGTAGGAATGACACCCAAATAAGCCTCATGTTCAATCTCTAACCCAGCTCTGATAGGCCCTGCCTCAAAACCTTCAGTGATGGCTTTCTTAGCCATCCTTAATGCTACTGGACCTCTTTCCTGGAGTAAAGAGGCCATTTCCAGAGACTTAACAAATGCTGCATTTCCCTCTTCATTCTGATCTACACAGGCATTGACCAGTCCAATCCTTTCTGCTTCTTCTCCAAAAACATCCCTTCCAGTAAATATAAGCTCCTTTGCTTTAGGAACTCCAACAACCCTAGGGAGGCGCTGAGTTCCACCTCCACCAGGAATTATTGCCAATTTTGTTTCTGACAGTGCCATCTTGGCTGTGGTACTGCAGATTCGTATGTCAGTACCAAGTGCAAGCTCCAGTCCTCCACCCATAGCGACACCATCAATTGCACAAATCACTGGCATAGGTAACTCATACATATCTTGGATCATCAGCCGAAATGTTCTCACCATACCTGAGAGAAAGGATAAATTTCAGAGAGGTACTATTGCATTTAATTGTCATATTGTGATCTTTTAGGTGGAAGGTTGGTTTAACATGAATTGTTCACGAAATGGTTAAAACGTTTTTATCATTCACATGTAAACCTTTAAAATCAAAATGCTGATATTTACCTGGGACATCCTCTTCCTTGATAAACAGACGCTCTTTTAAGTCTGCCCCAGCACAGAATATCTTAGGTGAAGTACTGTAGAGAATAACTCCTTGGAGACTTTTCTTTGACTTTATTTCAGCTAATGCCTCTCGAAGTTGTGCACCTAGTGACAAACTTACAGCATTTACAGGAGGCCTATTCAAACCTAGAAGAGCTATTCCTGGGTTGGACTCTGGGTAAGTCAGAAGAATTTCATTGCTTGATGAAGATAAGAGTCTCCGTGAAGTTTGCTGGATCAGTCTTCCCATAAACATGGCTGAAAAAGCATGGTTGATACTTAACTAATTACAACAATAAACATCATCTAAATTTATTGAGTATGTATGGTATAGTAAGTATCACTATGTTTACACTACACTGCTGTGTGGATGTACTGAAAGGTTACCATACGATAATACTCAATTCAGTGGTGTAACGAAGGGCCCCTGCCAACCCCGCTTTGCAGGAGGGGGCACCAAATCATTGTTTGAAAGAACTGACTTGATCTTTTGGCAAGGCCCCTCTTCATTTAACCATCAATCACGGTATGCCCTCGGCCACTTGGCCCTTGTTCTTCATAGGAATGGAATATTTTTACCTGGTCTATTCAGCCCAAACCCTAACTGTACACCATCATGTAAGGCTTCGTCTCATTTGTTAATGGAAAAAAATGGACAGCAAATATGAGACACCACTATCAGAAGTCTCTTATAACCTCATCCCTGCCCCTATGATGGAGTAGATGTGTATATATCTGATTGTTGATATTTAATATTATATAATATTGGTAACTATTTGTTAATGGAAATTACTAATGATATATAACAAAATTGTATGCTCCATTTCATGGTCATATTACAATCTTTGACAAGTTAACCTCTGATTCATTTTTCTAATAGGTTTTGTGTACTTTTAAAGAAGAAATTGGGCAAAATCTCCTCCTTAGTCGGATAGTCCTTTTTAACCCATAATAACGATTTATTGTCATCGCCAAACCCTTCATAATCGAGAACTGAATAATAAAATGGCAACCAAACAATTGGCAACAAAGATCAGAGCGATATCTCAAAGACGCAAGGTAAGATTTCGGTCCGGTTTTTTTTCTTTTTGTTCGTCTCCAGCAGCTCTGATCAAATCTGTGAAAACTGGAAAAAAAGAATTTTAACCCCCCCCCCCCCCCCCCCCTTTGGCCTTAACTAACCGTGTTGATAATGATGGTTTTAGATTTTGTATGATGTAAGTATTTTAATGTGAAGCATTTACTCCTCCCCCTCAGCAAGACAGTTAGATTAAAAAAAGAAAAATTTCAAACAATATACTAATAATATAACAATTACCCTATATAAAAATTCAATATAAATGCAATAGAAAACTACATAAAAGAGCTATGACTGTTGTTCTCAAAAGGTCAAATCTTACTCTCTTCCTAATAAATATCATTGCCTCACTATATCGTTGGCCTGATTTCCTAGAAAGTTTTTCCGCTAATTTCTTAAAGAACTTATTAGCTTCCCTTCCCATACCCCCAGTGGTTGATAGGACTATCGGTGTAAACGTCCCATGTTCCACTTCTACAATCCTTTTATTGTATAAATTCTTTTTCTGTCTCTCGTGGCTATTGTACATAGTGGTTGGAGATCCTAGGTGACAATCTCTCAGCTACACTCTACCAAGTTGACGAAAGCAGAATACCAAGCTTTCATGTCTTAACAATGTCACTGAGAAAGTACTTCCTTTGGAAAGAAAATAAGTCACACGGAACCAGAATGATAGACCTAACGCAGCAACATTTCAAGGATCTGGCCTATTACACTCAGGCAGACATAATGAGCTACAAAAATAAGATCTGGATTGACAGCATCGAAACAAATCTGCAATGCAGAACTGTCAGTAACAACAAGGAGACCAAGATACTTGGTGTGATCACAAAGATCAAAAACAGTGGGCTGCTCCTAGACAAAAACAACTTCTTATTCGGGCACAACACGAGTAAAAATCTGGACAGCCGAATAATGGACTACATTCACGGCAGCTCACCACTCTTTGCGAATATCCAAAAGATCATGGGTGGTGACAGTGGTGAGGCCTGTCGTTTCTGCAACAGCTTCGATGATTCTCCTGTACACCAGCTCCTATTGTGTCTGGAGGTGCAAGACACCAGTTACCTGCAGCTAAAAGAAGAGCTGGGTGGGGCTGACTCACATTCCTATCTAGATGAAGTGTTAACAAAAAGCAGCACACAAAAAGCATTCATTAGAAGAGTCGAATTTCTTTGGGGACAAAATGATGCTCTCCAGGATTTATCCAACTAAACTAGAAAGATCATAAAATAAAGACTCTGCAAACATCTCAGAGAAATAATACCACCGTAAAGATTAAAGACTAAAGAGGGAGGATCCTGGACCCCGAAATCCACCACTTTTCTGTACTTTCAGAGGTACCAATGTGGCAGGAAACCAGGGCTCATGCTGCCGCTGAGCTAAAGCAGTAGAGGGGATGGCGGCTTCTCTAGGATCTAACACGTCCTGAAGCAGACCAACACTATGTCCCAACGCACTGGTGTTGGGATGTCTGCCCCCGGTGCCTGTCCGGGTCAATAAAGCAGTCAAGCATCATGTATGTTATGTTGAGCATTCTCAACCAACAAATGTGGGAACTCCCACAAAACACCAAAACAGATCTAAAGAGACACTTAACAACATTGGAAAAATAGACTACAATTTGTTTATATAATTTATAAAGCGTATATTATTGCCCACGTTAAGGGGCCTGTTAATAATTTATTAAATTATTAGCTATTTTAGATTTAATAATAATAATAAAAAATCCTAGAGCCTTATTGGAAGGAGCTTGAGCATGAAATACTCTTACATCTAAAAATGCCCTTTCCAATGGGTTCAACACTCCTAGCACTAACATCTAATCTAGCTCCATCTGCTTTGTTGGCCCCTGCAGGAAGTTCTCTCCCGTTGACAGGAATGAGGAGAGGTTCAGTGGTAACATCTTTACAGCCAGCAGTTTCTAAAAGCTCTGCTATCACATCCCTCAATGAGTTGTGGCGAAGAGATACATATCCACCCCTTTAGCATATTAATGAGTGGTTAATTGAGTTGTCACCTCCACATACACATGTTACTTTGCAGGAATACTCGTACTCTAGATCAGACATCAAACTGAGATCGTATATGGACACGTTCATTTGAGTTTGAGGATATTGGTAAACAAAAATAATAGCGTTTTTGACGATAGTGGCTTAATTTTGACATCTATTAACCTAGCACGTTCAGAAGTTCTGAACATTAGCCACGTAACCCATAATCCCATATGCACCGCTCAGAAAGAAAATCTATTGTTGTTAGGCACTATAATGTTTCAAATGTCACATTTTGTGTGACTTAGTTAACTGCAGTTGTCTAATTATCATTCCTTGGTCTGAAATATAATAAATTAGGTCTATCTAACAATTATGATACAACATTGGTTAATGGGCACGGATCGAACGGTTACAAGGCAATATTTGGGTAACTTTGTCACACTCATGATACCATACCTCTATTCTACTGTGAGGTGTCCTAAAAACCCTTTCAACTCATTATTTTATGGTTGCTCTACCAAGCATAGCCCTAAAATATGTTGTTTTGAATAATTAGCTAATACAGGCACTTGGTTATTGGGAAATGAGGTTAATTCTGTCACAATATATGAAATTTAAAATTTTGGGCGAATAATTTATATCTGATTTTGGTTTGAAAGGCGGGAAAATTTTATATGATGACAATGTAGTTGATGCAAGTTACGATCAGTTGATGTTTACATTGTCACAAAAAATTATACGAAATCGTAAATAGATTAAAAACAATGATTATAGAATGAAATAGTCTCTTATAATAACTCTTATAATAACTGATGTGACAAAGTAAACATGTCTTGCCCCTATTTTGAAGATCTATATTCTATACCTCTATTAGAATATTGTCCAGAACATCAGAGCTTAAGTTTAACAATTTTAGGTTAAATTTGTCAAAGTCACTAAAAATGTGACAAAATTAACTTTTCATGCCCCAACAATTTCAAGATAGTGTGTAAAAATTAGCATAGGCTGCTTTATTACCTATATAAATCAATCCAAACTACAAAAAATATATGTTAATGTGATGACGATTACCTAACTCTTATAATAACTGATGTGACAAAGTAAACATGTCTTGCCCCTATTTTGAAGAACTATACTTCTATTAAAATACTATGTAACTTTATCATCAAAAAAATTTCGATAAACTAGTTATTTTGCCAGCAAGGAGCTAACAGAGTTATAATAATTTTTTGTGACGAAATTACCCTATTTTTGACCATGTAGCGGTAGTTTAATTGTGACACTGTTAATATATTACCACCTGATAATGATTTATGTGACTGGTGCATGGTACTAGCAGTGTTGTTTGATCCATAGTACGTATAATATAAGGGGTTTAAGCTGGTATATCATTATTTGTTCAATTTCACACATGTTCAGATATTATCAAGATTGTGTGACAAAGTAAGCTTGGTTGTGCCTTCTGTGTTTTAATTCCTTACGACTATATGATATAATAACAATTCCCAGCACTTCCAGGCCATCAAATAAACTTACACTACTCAGCATTGCTTATCAGGGTGCCCTAAACATTCATCACATATTTTCTTTAATGTGTGACAGAGTAAACCTGAATGCACCATCTAACGAAAAAAGTCGTCAAATATGTAGGTAATGGTCATATGTACCCATCCAATCAACTGGACACTCAAAAATTTGGTCAAAAACGGCAGCAAGGGGTCCATATTTACTCCGTCACATGTTTATAGTGTGACAATGTAACCATTTCCGTGCCGGCCGTATTTAAGCGATATCTTATCACCTGATTAAGATATCCTTATGTGACAAAGTTAGCCTAGAGGATGAGACGATTATCCTAACCATCAAGGGTTTAAGTAATTTCATAGTGTGACAAAGTCAACTACACTGTGCCTTTTAATAGGGTCCCTTATATTTACCAATATCCTCAAACTCAAATGAACGTGTCCATATACCAAGACCCCCTTCTTTGACTGGTAATGCAAAGAGTTTTCTACTGGTTTGGTCGGTTCGAAACGACCTGTCCAATATTGCTGGTATAAAGGATTCTTGAATTTTGTATTCTAATCTCCTGAGGTGTTGACTGATACCAGGTGTTGTTCGACATACAAGACAGTTAGATTAAAAAATTAATTAAAAAAATATTTAAAAAAAAGAAAAAAAAAGG